GGGTTACATAAGGTGTTTATTCTTGAAGCAGCTTTGGGGAATGCCCTTTCACAACCTCTTCAGCCTCTAAAAACTAGACAAAACCATGCCCTATTCCTGCACCATTTCCAGAAAGTCCACAAGAACGCAACCCATTCTCACACATCCTTTGCAGCCTCCAAAAATTTCACGAGAACAGGGCGTGCTTTCGAAAATACAGATAGTGTTCGACTTACGAACACAATTGAGCCCATAATTTCTGTTGTTAAGTAAGACATTTGTTTAGTGAGTTTTGCCTCATTTTACAACTTTTCTTGCCACAATTGTTAAGTGAATCACTGCAGTTATTTAAGTTAGTAAACTGGTTGTTAAGCGAATTTGGCTTCCACATTGCCTTGGCTTGTCAGATGGTCACAAAAGTGAGCATCTGATCCTGCAACACTGCAGCCGTCATAAATATGAGTCAGTTGCCAAGCATCTGAATTTTGGTCATGTGACTATGGAAATGCTGCAACAGTTGTCAGGAAAATGATCACAATTCACTTTCTTCAGTGCTGTTGTAACTTCAAACTGTCACTAAATGAATTGTTGTAAGTCGAAGACTACCTGTAATTGTTTTCAGATTTTGGTGAATGCTGGCATGTCATCCAAAATGTCATGGCATGTCACCTTTGACACAGGCATCATAGATTCGCCATCACTGTCCTAGGTATCTCCTGGAGCAAGTGGGCTGGGATCTGTAGTCCCTCCTTGTGACAATTTGTATTGTCAAACCCACCACACTAACCATCACTGGTTAGTGATGGTTAGTGTGAGCCGAGGTGGCGCAGCAGTTAGAGTGCAGTACTGCAGGCCACTTTAGCTGACTGTGTTCAGCAGGTCAGCGGTTCAAATCTCACCGGCTCAAGGTTGACTCAGCCTTCCATCCTTCCGGGGTAGGTAAAATGAGGACCCAGATTGTTGGGGGCAATGTAAATATATATATACATTGCTTACTGGTGTACACCGCTTAGAGAGTGCTTGCACTTAAAGCGGTATATAAGTCTCATAAATAAATAAGTCTCATAAATAAATCACTGAGATCTGATAAGCTACGTACAGGTAGTCCTTGAGTTATGACCACAATTGTACCACAAATTTATTTTTCTAAATAACTAATAACTGTGGCAAGAAAAGTCCTAAAATGGGGCCCCATTTTAGGACTTTTCTTGCCACAGTTATTAAGTGAATCATTGCATTTGTTAAATTAGTAACATGGTTGTTAAGTGAATCTGGATTCCCCATTTCCTTTGCTTGTCAGGAAGTGGCAAAAGGTGATCACCTGACTCCGGGAGACTGCAAGCATCTGAATTTTGGTCACATGGTCCATGGGGATACTGCAACAGTTGTCAGGAAAATGGTCACAATTCACTTTTTTTAGTGCCATTGCAATTTCAAACGTCACTAAATGAACTGTTGTAAATCAAGGACTACCTATATGTTCTTGTCTGGCAGGCATTTATTTTAAATCCCCCCAAATATTTCTAATATTATTCTGGTCCTTCTAGTTCAGTTAGAGGGTAATGAATATATCAGTTATGATTTGGCCTACTTTCTCATTTCTCCAAGGCAAACCAAGGTTTGCATCATTTTGGTCTTCTAAAATCCTGAAAAAAATAATATGAATTTCTGTAAAAGTATACTTTATGTATGCATTTTTCCTACCAATTTTCTCTGACATGTTTTTGAAAAATTTTCCCCATTTATGTGTAGGTTCTTTCTATGTGTGCTTTTTCAACCTGGCAAATTGCATTAACAAAATCAGAAAATATCGATTTCAAAGGCAACTATGTATCAGTTTACGCATTGAATCAAGATGTATATATTAAATAAAATAGCATTTAAAGATGAGCTGAATTAATTTTTCCACATTTGTGCTGTCCACACTGTATCGTTTACAAAGTAGATTGATGGTCTTTTCTTTCAAAATTAGCTTTCTAAGCATTTCTCCATATCTGGACTGCAAAAATCTGGGCAACTATTACATGGTAACAAAGATTTAACCATTTCGTGGTTGTCTGGATTTTGCAACATTAAATATGGTGGTCCTACTGTTTACAGAAAGCAAGTGTTCAATGAAGGCCAGTGTCCAAAATGGACGGGGCCACTCATCACCCCCCTTTTTTGTTTCTTGTCTTCTCTTATATGAGCCGTGGTGGTGTAATGGTTAGAATACAGTATTGCAGGCTAATTCTGCCTACTGCCAGGAGTTTGATCCTGACTGGCTCAAGGTTGACTCAGCCTTCCATTCTTCCAAGTTGGTAAAATGAGGACCCAGATTGTTGGGAGCAATATGCTGATTCTGTAAACCACTTGGAGAGGTAAAGCACTATGAGGCGGTATATAAGTCAAAGTGCTTGTAGCTCTCTTCTCTTCTCTTCTCTTCTCTTCTCTTCTCTTCTCTTCTCTTCTCTTCTCTTCTCTTCCCTTCCCTTCCCTTCCCTCTTTCTCTTTCTCTTTCTCTTTCTCTTTCTTTCTTTTTCTGAGAGCTTCCTTTTTTCCCTGCTTCCTTCCCCCCCAGAAATTGCTTAGGAAGTTATTCATTTGCTGAAGTATTTTGAAATTAGGATGCTTCACGCTACCAAGTTAGGGTCACTGTAGCTTTTCATCAGGTTTTCTTTCTTTGCACCCAAATGCTAGTTTGGTGTAGAAGTTAAAGCTCCAAGCTAAAAACCAGAGACCATGAGTTCTAGTCCCATTTTAGGCACAAAGCCAGCTGGGTAACCTTTGGCCAGTCATGTTCCCTCAGTCCTAAAAAGGAGACAAGGACAAACCACTTCCGGAAATCTTGTTAAAAAAATTGCAAGTAACCAGGAGCCAATGGTCACTCAAACGGAGACATGCACACACAAAAGCTGGAAATGCCAGAAATGGAAAGTCTAACTGCTTGTATGTAAGGAATGTATTTTGCCACTGATCCACAACCTTGCTGCAATTTTATCAGCTCTTCCTGGGAATAGGGTTTTTTTCAATCAGAAAAGTGGCATATATATGAGGGGGGAAAACATTTACCTTCTTTAGCTCTAATGCCTTATTCCAAAATTTGGTTCTTTACTTTGGGAAAGAATGCTTTTTAATGTATAGAGTATATTTTACTTGTTGCCATAGGATCTAAATTGCAATCTGTCCATTATTCAATGCTGCAGATCATCTTCTAATACCAGACTTGATGTTCTACAAAGTAATTTATTCTGAAGGGAAATGCAAAATTCTTTTCTTTCTTCCCTCTGAAAAATAGAAATTATACCATTTACTTTATATTGCAGTATTACTTTATATTTCATCTTATGATCCTTTTGACAAATTGAATAGAAGGAACGTAAAAAGTATGCTTTCAGCAAGCTATTGAAACCAAACATTGGCTTCAACAGCAAACTCCACACCTCTGACCTCCATCTCCTAAAAGTGTCATCTAGTGTGTTGAGGAAAGAAGATTAAATCCTCGGGGTGGGAATGAAACCAAGGTTTAGTAATGAATGAAAGTCCAGGGATATGTTCTGTCTTGGGGAGAGAGAGAGACAGACAGATTCGATACCATTCGTCTTGATTTTATTGGTTCGGCTTTGATCTGCAATGTTGAAAACCGCTTAGAATAAGCATCAGTACATGTGCGTGCAACTAAGCAATAAAAATCGTACTCCAAAGCACCTTATTAAAACAGAGTGATAGAAAATATACGGGAAAGACGTGCAGAAACATAATAATCTAAATTTTGGAAAAATGGATTTTTTTCCTTGCATTGATATTCTCTCTATGAAGTTTACCCATATGAGAAAATAAATAAATAATAAAACAAATCATTGTTTTTCAGTTGATTTCTGTGTCCTAAAATGTAGGACAAGGAGAAAACAGTCGGGACTGAACACACTCAAAACTGTAGAGATGATTGTAGATTTTGGGAGAAGCCCTCCTATTCTACCACCTCTTACAACACAGTATCAACAGTAGAGATCTTCAAGTTTCTAGGTTGTATAATATCTCAGGACTTAAAATGGACACCTAACATCAAAAACATCATCAAAAAAGCACAACAAAGAATGTTCTTCCTGTACCAACTCAGAAAGCTCAGACTGCCGAAGGAGCTGCTGATACAGTTCTACAAAGGAATTATTGAGTCTGTCATTTGCACCTCTATAACTATCTGGTTTGACACAGCAACCAAACAACACAAACACAGACTTCATTGGATAGTTCAAACTGCAGAAAAAAATAATTGCAGCCAGCCTGCCTTCCATTGAGGACCTGTATACTACACGAGCCAGAAAGAGGGCTGTGAAAATACCTACAGACCCCTCACATCCTGGACATAAACTGTTTCAACTTCTTCCCTCAAGATGACACTATAGGGCATTGCATGCCAAAACAACTAGACACAAAGACAGTTCTCCCCCCACCCCACCCTGTCATCACTTTTTTAAGTAACTAATTCCCACAACAATTGTCTATGCCCTGGGATGTCAAACCACCTAGTAGGGCTGTATTACTTATTATCTCTCTCATCTATCTTATTACCTATGTCCTTAGATTCTTAGGACTATAACTTGTTGTTGTATCTCATGATTTATGTTGATTGCTTTTATTTAGTATCCTATTACTATTTATGTTGATTGCTTTAGTGTCCTATAATTATCACTGAGTGTTGTATCTATGATTTATGATGATTGTATTTTATGATTATGAATATCACTTGTTGCTTGTATGTACACTGAGAGCTTATGGACTGGAGACGAATTCCTTGTGTGTGTCCAATCACACTTGGCCAATAAAGTATTCTATTCTCTTCTGTTCTGTTTTTTCCTGGTTACAAATATCAGTGCAAATAAGCTGCAACAATTCTGCTTGAGATCCTCATTTATAGCTTCTTTGGGATAATACATAATTTATTATGGAAAGCTAGATCCTACATTTTCTACATCCTACATTCTACATCCTAGAAAATTTAGCTGGACTTTTAAAAAAAATCCCTTCTTCTCCTTCAGATGACACACATGACCGATACGGACAGGTCCTCAGATCCTACAGAAGAAGAGAGTTCTAAAGAGAATTGTCAGAGCCCAACTCTTGGAGGTGGTATTTTGAAGTACAAGACCCGATCTCAAGGTATTGTTATTTTTTTATATTGGATAAAGAAACATGGAAGAGTTGGAAGACTGTTGAGGTCAGGTTTACCAGCATACTGTTACCTCCTTGAGAAACAAATTATAGTTCAGAGGAAGAATAGAGTTATCAATGAGAAATACCTCTACTGGAGTTCTTAAAGGTTTCTGATACTTACAGTTAAATCATACCGAGCTACATAGGTGTATCATTTCGTTCCCAATAAAGAGCAACTTCTACTACTCTTATCTTTGAGGCTAGATTTTTAAAGTTAAAGTAGTGCTGGACCAAAAGACTTATATTATTTTCTTTGCTGAGCCATATTCCATCTCCTTTAGTTATTTGAGGTACTTATGGCCTCTGGATTTGTGACCTTTTAACAGTTAGAACATGTATCTCAAATCAGATTTTAATAAAATGGTAATAATTGAGAAGGGTCAAAGCCTTTAAAAAGATGAAACACAAAGATAATTACGGCAGCAGTGTAAAAAGAGCCATCTTGCTGCTCTTCTATGTGAGGACAGAGAAACCCATCAGTGTTGGCAGAACCCAAGGACTGTATCAGGTGAACCTCTTCAAAGCAGGTTCTCCACAATTTTAGGATTGCGATTAAGAAAGATTGTGATCTTCACACCATCCTCCAGTTGGCAGGGGGATTTAGAATTGGATTACTGCTGCTGATTGAAGTACACAGGATGAAAGGCATGAGAGAAAGTAATTCATAAAGTTTCTCACTGTCTATCCTTTGAGGGTTTTAAAAATATCAATCAATCAATCGGTTTATTACAGCCATAAGGCCAGACATAATCAAAATATAACAACAGTGACAATTTTACTTTCATATTTACATAATATAAAACCATCAAACAATCAATGTAATATAATCCGAAATTCTCAAAATAAAACATCATATTAAAATTTTTCAGACCTTGATAATGGTGCGATGTATTGTGCAAATGGTGGCACAAAATTGGGCAACCTGAATTGATATTTTTGGATCCTTATCCGAAAGTAGCAACTTTAGATAAAATTCATATCCCCTACCTGGAAACTTCTTCAATATCGGATATATAAAAATCTGTCTAGAGTCTTTATATAAAGAACAATGAAGCAGCATATGGCTTAGAGTTTCTGTAGAGCCATCACCACACAATTGAAGGTGCATAGGAATGCCCTTAAACTGATTTTAAAAATATGAACCTGCACTTGATTTGATTGTATGCATAAACTATTTTTTGCTTTTTTACCTGGAGCTCAGATACAGAATAAGAGTTCTGTCTTTTTTTAAGTCAGTAAAAAGTGCTGTTTATTTGTGATTAAATATGCATTTTGATTTTAAAAAAGTGTGTTCTGTCATTTCCTTAATAAATTACCCCTGCCCATATAGCCACATGCATGCATATGGGCACACACAAAGATAAAATTTATTATTGTTGTTTAGATGTTTTAAGAAATGCATCCACCCATCATTTCTCAATGGACATTCTAAATTCCATTAGAACTGACAATCTTAAAAGAGGCTTTGATGCGTGTATAATAAATTTTATCCCTGGGTTATTCTTTAGGGGCGGCAACTCGCTTAGAATCTGTGGGAGAAGATGATGAGTTGACAGTAGAAAATGGAGATGTGAATTATGAACTACCAATGAAATATTCCCGGGGAGGCAGAAAGCATTCCTTACCGCAGCATTTGGACACAGGAACCAGACAAGTGAGGAAGAGGGGGGGGGGGGAAATGGCATCATTTGAGCCAAATAATTCCTATTTTAACTATTGGTAATTGATGGAGGGAGCAAAGATTAAAACAAACTCAATCATGAACCAGAATGCAAATGCTGTACAGGTAGTCCTTGACTTACAGCCAACATTGGGAACACAACTGTTGCTAAGCAAGGTGGCTGTTAAGTAAGTCGCACCTGATTTTGCAATCTTTTATTTTTGCCATGGTTGTTAAGCGAATCGCTGCGGTTCTTAAGTGAATCGGGCAGTTATTAAGCGAATCCAGCTTTCCCCATTGATGTTATTGCTTGTTGGAAGCCAACTGGGAAAGCCTCAAATGGAGATCACATGACGCTTGGAGATTGCAGCCATTGTAAATACAGGGCAGTTGCCAAATGCCTGATTTTCAGTCCTGATCGTAAGTCATTTTCAAGTGCTGTTGTAACTTTGAATGGTTGCCAAATGAATGGTTCTAAGCTGAAGACTACTTGTAATTACAATTAAGGAGAATATTTGTAGCTCAGGGTTGCAAAGAGGGGTCCTTGATGCTCTCTGAGCTTGCTCGTAATTCATATGCCAGCAAAGGTTATTGTGGTGCCTTATTTGTATATAGTAGACTATTTATTTAATCTGAATAAAAATATACAATATATTGCAGAAAATTTTGGAAGATACTACCTTATGTTCTCTGGTACTTATCTTGATTTATTTTCTACCCTGTTTATACATACACACAAACATACATATATATCGTAAGCCCTAGCCCAAATATAAGCCCTAGTTTTGGGGCGAGGCACGCATTTAAAAATCAAGCTAGGGCGGGGGTGGGGCATGGATCTGCCCCATGCTCCCACACCCACTTACCCCGCAGCCAGGCCTCTTCTCGCCAGCTCACTTCTTCTGAGGTGTCTTCTGCAGCCAGGACTGCATTTCTCAGTCAGAGGCCTTTCCAGAAGGCCACTGCAGCCGAGAACCAAGCTGTGGATTCAATCCATAGCTCGGTACTCAGCTGCAGAGGCCTTCCAGAAAGGCCTGACTGCGAAATGCAGGCCAGAATGCAGCTGTAGAATTAAGCTGCTCCTTCAGCCGCAGTAGAAGTGGACCTGCTGGGTGGGGTTATCGGTGCCAGAGATGAGTATAATAGACATCCCCTGAAAATAAGACCTGGTACCTCTTTTGGAGGCAAAAAAAAAGACCCAGTCTTATTATATATGTGTGAGTGTGTGTGTGTACTGTATATATGTGTATATATGTATATATGTATGTGTACACATACACACACATTTAGGCACTTGCATGTAACCATGATCTAATGACTATTTACTAACCGGAAACCAAGATTAGACAGCCTATAATTGAAACAGAATCATTCTGAGTTTTTTTGCAATTATTGTGTTTGTTCTATTTCTGAAGGAATACCACATTGTTAAGAAATCCACTCGTTCGTTGAGTGCAGCTCAGGTTGAATATCCGTGGCGACTTACCCAGCCATCTATTATCTCCAACATTGTTCTGATGAAGGGGCAGGGCAAGGTAAGAATGAAATAAAAAAAGACTTTAATATTGTGTGTCTGTCTAGGAATCTAAGTCAAGAACTCTTCTGAGGACCCAAGTTGCAGAGGGCTGTTCTAAAATTTATTATAGCAAAAGAGATGCTATTCCAGAATTTGGAACCACTTAATACTGGTAGTTGGTGCAATGTAGGGGAAAAAGTGATATCCACAGTTCTTGAGAATATGGGGTCACTGATGGTAAAAGTTTTGGGGTCTGTATAAACACCGTATACTCCATTTAGGTTTGTTTAACACTGCAGAGTCCACTGTTTGTGATTAGAAATTAATCAATGATGAGAGCCACTTTAGTTAGTGGTTAAAGCATCAAGCTAGAAAGTAGGAGACTGTGAGTTCTAGACTGGTGGTTCTCAACCTGTGGGTCGGGACCCCATTTGGGGTCGAACGACCATTTCACGGGGGTCGCCAAACAAGGCTGTCCGCCATTTTTTTCCCCTTTTCTTTGGCCACGTCCCTGGCATTCGGTGATGTATAAGTGGTTGGGGGTCACCACAACATGGGGAACTGTATTATGGGGTCGCGGCATTGGAAAGGATGACAACCACTGCTCTAGACAATGGTGGGTTTCAAATATGTGAACAAATAGTTCATTGTGTGGCTGCCGCTTCTGGAAGTCCATTCTGGGCCTGGGCAACAAAAAATTAGCTACCGGTTCTGCCAAAGTGGCTGAATCTCACCATTGGTTCTAGACCCACCTTAGGTGCAAAACCAGCTGTTGACTTATTGGGAAGATTCTACTTGGGTTGCCTCTGAAGAAGAGTCAGGAAATTCGGTGCAGAACTTGATTGCCAGCATTTTAACAGATTCAGTGAGGTTTGCCCACATAATTCTAATTTTAATTGGACATTTGCCTATTCATTTCAGGTCTCTTTCTCTTGCAGTCTGCCCATATCTTAACATATTTTGCCAAAGCTATATTTCAGGCTCCCATTGAAAATGCAGCATGCAGATACTTCTGTTGGTTCTAAAACCTAGCATTGTGCTGAGATAGTATATTCTCCCTTCCTTTAAAAACTTTTTCTTTCTTACTGTTTAACAACAAAGATGAAGAAACCAGTTTAGTTAGTTCAGTTTACTTGATCAGATTCTTGTTGTTTGTGATTTGGGAAGTTATGGGATATTTGTCTATGGAGATTCTTATGAGGCATTTATTCCTCTCCTTTTACCCTAATTTGTACCTATGCTGCAGGGTCTTGGATTCAGCATTGTGGGGGGACAAGATTCTGCCCGGGGTCGTATGGGCATTTTTGTAAAGACAATTTTTCCAAATGGGGCTGCAGCAGCTGATGGCAGGTTAAAAGAAGGTACGCTTGCAAAAAAACAGATTTTGGTTAGCCTCACAACTTGTTTAAACTAACTACTTCCCAAGCCCATATTTACCTATCCTACCTGTTCCTCCTGCCAAACATGTAAGCTGGAGAACAAAAACTCATGACCAAGCTGAATACAGGTAGTCCTTGACTTACAACAGTTCATTTAATGACCATTCAAAGTCACAATGATGCTGAAAAAAGGGACTTTTGACCGTTTCTTTACACTTATAACATTGCAGCATCTCTGTAGTCACGTGATCGAAGTTCCGGTGCTTGGCAACTGGTTCATATTTATGACCGTTGCTATGTCCCAGTTTCACGTGATCCCCTTTTGCAACCTTCTGACGAGCAAAGTCAGATTCACTTAACAACTGTGGCAAGAAAGGTCGTAATATGGGGCAAAGCTCATTTAACAAATGTTTCACTTAGCAATGTAAATCAATTGTGGTCATAAGTTGAGGACTACCTGTAATTTGTTGACAGAACCAGGCTTTCCTTCTGTTCTTGGTCCGGAGCAAAAGAAGGAGAAGTGGTTAATATAATGTAAACTGCTCTCTTTGGAGCCATGGCTTTGTCCCTTCCAGATACTTCCTTCCAATATTTCAGATGTTTCAGAAGAGAGACATCTGAAATACTGCTGTTTTTACACAATATACACCAGATTTTTTTCTTGCTAATGTTGTGTAGGGGACAGTTCCTTCGATAGTTTGTGTAATGCGGTATAATGTAATTATCTTGTAACAAACCATATCCAAAAGCTATAGTTTGTGCTATACCACATTTGGTGACAAACATGTCTTCACCCAAGATCCAGGAAAGAGTGGAAACGATAATTCAGCCTCCCATTCCCACCCATAAGCCATTCTGCAGCCTGAAATTTGATGAGATTTCATGCAAAGAAGTTCAGCTTTTCTGCTTCTGGGCCATGTATTGTGGATTGTTCGTTCCTGCAAATTCTCATTTTGCTACCATTCATGGATAAGAATGACTCCTAAGCATTTTTCCTTGTTGGGCTTCCAAAATTCCAAATGCACAAGATAACTAAACTACAAAATGCTTCCAAATTTGTATAGTCTAATGAAACTTTCAGGGCAAAAATAACATGCCACTGTTTAAACTTAATTTATTCAAGCATAGAAAGAGATAACATATGTTGTAATATAATAGTATGGGAAGAACTGGAATGCCTTTTATTTCATCCCATCCAAATGGCGATAATGCATTTTGTTTTCGGTTTCCAGGAGACGAACTTCTAGAGGTTAATGGGGAATCATTACAAGGGCTGACGCATCAGGAGGCAATTCAAACATTCAAAGTAGGTAACAGAACTGCAGGGTTTTAGTAAGACTGCAAAACTTACAATATGCTTTTAATGCAAACTTATCTGCCACCTGGTCAGTATAGCATTCCCATATGTAACTTACCCATACTGATGTCCTTCAAAACTCTTCAAAGTTCAGAACCAGTCTAATCTTGTTGGCTGAGAAAAAAATAGAAGCTATAGTACCACACATCTGGATGGTATCCTGTTGGGGAAAGCTGTTGTATTCACTTCTATATGTACCCATTTATATTTGAATACAACTACTCAGGCCTTTTTTTCTCATAGAACACCCAGAACAGAGTTCCGGCACCTTTTTTGGATGGAACCTTGTAGGGTAGGCAAGGCAGGTTGTATGACATGTGTGAGTTCCGGCACCTTTTTTTTTTTTTTTTTTTTTTTTTTTTTAAAAAAAAAGCACTGCAACTATTTTCCCCAACTGGATACTATCCAGATGTGTTGTGTTCCAGCATCTTTTGGGAGTTGGTCTTCATGGGTCCTGCATAAAGCAATATCAATACAAGGGAAAATGATTTGCTTTGGCATCTACATTTTCTATAAGCATAATAGATATCTTGGGCAAGGTTAGTAAAGAAATATTTTATGTTCATAAGATAGTCCTCGACTTACAACAGTTCGTTTAGTGACTGTTCAAAGATACAGTGGCACTGAAAAAAATGACTTATGACTGTTTTTCACACTTAGGACTGTTGTGGTATCCCCATAGTCATGTGATCGAAATTCAGATCCTTGGCAACTGGTTCATATTTATGACGGTTGCTGTGTCCCAGGGTCACGTGATCACCTTTTGCGACCTTCTGACAAGCAGAGCCAATGGGGAAGCCAGATTCATTTCACAACCTTGTTACTAACTTAACAATTGCAGTGATTCACTTAACAACTGTGGCACAAAAGGTCGTAAGAAATGTTTCACTTAGCAACAAAAATTTTGGGCTCAGTTGTGGTCATAAGTCGAGGACTACCTATACACACGTAGACAACAGACCTTCTAGATCAAATTGTACAGAATGATCCACTGTACGGTGATCAATTCCCAACATAGTTTTTTTATTTTATTTTACTATTTACTTTTTTATTCAAGAGCAGATGTTCCACTTAATGATTCCAGACATGTTCCAAGTTCTAGATGTGTAATTCATGTCTTAGTTTTTGAGACAAAGGAAAAGTGGTGATACTATACACCTAACAACTCTGTTGCTTCTTTAGCAACTCAAGAAAGGTGTGGTGACTCTCACAGTACGAACCAGACTTCGCAGCCCAAGCCTTACACCCTGCCCAACTCCCACTTTACTCAGCCGGTCCAGTTCTCCCAGCTCCAGTGCCAGTGGAGCAGCCTCATTTCCCAGTGGAGAAGATGGAGATACTTCCTCTTCTAGTCGTAAAGGACCTGGACCAAAGGACAGAATCGTCATGGAAGTCACTCTAAATAAAGGTTTGAGAAAATACAACTGTTATTATTCTGTTATAATAATAATAGTAATAATAGTAATAATAATAGTAGTAGTAGTAGTAATAATAATAATAATAATGATAATAATAAAGTTGGAAGGGACCTTGGAGGTAATCTAGTCAAACCCCCTGCTCAGGCAGGAAACTCTATACCATTTTGGACAAATGGCTGTCCAGTCTCTTCTTAAAAACTTCCAGTGTTGGAGCATTCACTGCTTCTGGAGGCAGGTTGTTCCACTGGTTAATTGTTCTGTCAGGAAGTTTCTCCTTAGTTCTAGATTGCTTCTCTCCTTGATTAGTTTTCATCCGTTGCTTCTTGTCCTGCCTTCAGGTGCTTTGGAGAATAGTTTGACTCCCTCTTCTTTGTGGCAGCCCCTGAGATATTGGAACACTGCTATCTTGTCCCCCGTCATCCTTCTCTTCATTAAACTAGACCTACCCAATTCCAGCAACCATTCCTTATATGTTTTAGCCTCCAGTCCCCTAATCATCTTTTTTGCTCTTCTCTGTACTCTTTCTAGAGTCTCAACATCTTTTTTACATTGTGATCAAAACTGGATGCAGTATTCCAAGTGTGGCCTTACCAAGGCATTGTAAAGTGGTATTAACACTTCACATGATCTTGATTCTATCCCTCTGTTGAAAATAACCATGGCCCAAAGTGCTGTGGCAAGGCGGAGAAAACCTCATAACGAAGATTTTAGAAGGGGGAAAATAGAAACAATAATAAGATTTTAATAAGTGTTGGATTCCTTTTCCTGTAAGTTTGAGCCAGGGTGGTTAGTGATCAAAATTTTTGTCTGACATGTCTAGAAGGAACCAAAATGTTTTGGGGAGTAATGGAAACTGTGCTATAAGAGCAAATTGGTTTTGTTGAAATTCCAATGAAATTTGTGGATGGGAAAATTCCAACAGTATATGTAAAAAAAAAAATCACGTACTGTCTTCTGGCTGCCCCTTGCAAAATATTAACATAGTCACATAGAAGCTGATCATATACCAAGAACTCTGCACGAGTAGATTTAGCACACCACTGGAAATATACCGGTATGTCTAACCACACTGAAATGAAACACCTGGGATTTCTTCCTGTTGGGTAGGATAGAAGCCAATTTAAGAAATCCTTGTGACCCCATAATGGATTGTGGTAGTCAACTTATTTGATATGGAGTAATGTTTTGCACTGAAAATCCTTTAAAAGACCTGTGATGTGATTCCTGAGGTGGAAGCCCTAAATATATAAAGTGGGGTCTTCAAACTTGGCAACTTTAAGACTTGTGGACTTCAATTCCCAGAATTCCTCAGCCAGTCCTGGTTGGCTGAGGAATTCTGGGAGTTGAACTCCACAAGTCTTAAAGTTGCCAAGTTTGAAGACCCCTGATGTAAAGTCTCCTTCAAGTTGGACTTGATGCTTTGGGATTTTATGGACATATCCATGCAGTTTTCTTGGTACTATAGTGTTATAGATGTGGCTTGCCTTTGCATTTTTCAGAATGTTTTTTTTCCAATTTCCCTAGGTTTTCTTGAGGGCTCTAATCCAAGGATTAACCATTTCCAACCCAGCTTAGTTTTTTAGGAACTACCTAGTCATGAAATCAATTGCCACTGAAGTTGAAACTATCCTATCCCATCATTAGAGTTGAAAAGAAGACTCAGAGCATATTTATTTAAAAAGGCACAGATGTCCCTGAGTTTTCCTGGTAGTGTTCCAGGAGTGGTTTGCCTCCTGGGAATTTTTATTTTGACTTTCCAGGATAGCCCAGAAAAGATGAAGCAGGGCTGAAGCCATATTTATTTCCTCAGTGTTTTTGATAGTTTTTATTTTATTATTTGATAGTACTGCAGGCCACTTTAGCTGACTGTGTTCAGCAGGTCAGCGGTTCAAATCTCACCGGCTCAAGGTTGACTCAACCTTCCATCCTTCCGGGGTAGGTAAAATGAGGACCCAGATTGTTGGGGGCAATGTAAATATATATATATATATACATTGCTTACTGGTCTACACCGCTTAGAGAGTGCTTGCACTTAAAGTGGTATATAAGTCTCATAAATAAATAAATTTAACAATGTTTTTTTTATTTCTCCTTGTAAATCTGGAATCGTTAGGGAAATAGGTGACATACACGTTTAAAGATTTTGATGAATAAAAAGCACCAGAGATGTAACAGAGAGTGGGAGGACAGGGACAGGAAAAATATCCTCTTACAACTACTTTCTTGGATCAACTGGATCTCAACTCTCTTTCATCCCTGGAAGCCGAAAAGGCCAGCAATCTAGGTAGTCCTCAACTTACAACAGTTTCTTCAGCGACTGTTGAAGTTGCAACGGCACTGAAAAAAGTGACTTATGACCATTTTTCATACTTACAACCATTGCCGCATCCCCATGGTCATGTGATCAAAATCCAGGCGTTTGGCAACTGACTCACATTTATGACAGTTGCAGTGTCCCAGGCTCATGTGATCCCCTTTTGCGACCTTCTGACAAGCCAAGTCAATGGGGAAGCCAGGTTCACTTAGCTTAGCCAGGTTACTAACTTAGCAACTGCAGTGATTCACTTAACAACTGTGGCATGAAAGGTCGTAAAACTCACTTAACAACTGTCTCAGTAACAGACATTTCGGACTCAACTGTGGTCATAAGTCAAGGACTACTTGTATTCATTTTTATGACAAATTATCTCAAACGATCATGATGGGGTAACTAAGAGAGGCAGGAAAGGTGCTTGCTTCCACCAAAATGAGGTGCCTGCTCCTTAAAATCATTTCAGAATGGCTTCAATACCTTCTCAGATTTAGAATAATTTCATGGTATTTATCTTGCTTGGAGTTTCCTATCTTATAATTGATTTTCAACCTGTTCCCTTCTTCTCTCTCCCCCCCCAATCCTTCCCATGGGCTCTATTGTCTTTCAAATGGCATTAACCGAATGGTTATATTTTACTAATGTTGTGATGGTGCTCTGATTAAAAACAATGGAAAGAACAAATCAGATTAATAAACAAGCTTTGAGTAGAAAATCAGGTTAAATCTGTTTTAAATTTATGATACATAATCTTTGCCAGTTTTTGCAAGGAATTTTCACTGGAAGAATTTACAGTTAGACCCTGGAAAGATATTTCATCATGATTTGGAGCCTGGGAACAAGAAGGGTACATTTCATATAGGGAATAAACAAGGAAAGTATTTGTAATGACTTCTTTTATTACATTTGGCTCTTGGGCATAAGCACATTTGGGGTGGAGAGATGTCAAGAATCACCACAGAATCAAATATTTCTGTAACTTTGTCTCACTTCCTATCAGCTTTTATCAATCTGTCGTAATTTGAGGGATGAGGGGAAAGAGTCGAAGCCAAATGAAGAAAATACAGTAACTGAGAGAAGCATAGTCTTCTCATTGCTTTAAAGTCATCCTTAAAATCCTTAGTAGAAGGCGGAAACTTCTCCTGATCCACTCTGACTTATTGCAGTGGATGACTAGGAACTGGTTCAAAGGCTCTTAGTAGCCATTTCAAGATCTATGGATACCATGTCCTGTCTTTCAAATACTTTTATAGTTTCCTACGAAGGACAATTCTTAAGAAGTACATTTATGCCTTGGGGCTATTCCAGCGAACGTTTAAGTTAAATTATTCTCAACTTTGTTTTCATTTCATCACAGAACCTGGGGTTGGCCTGGGCATTGGTGCTTGCTGCCTCACCTTGGAAAACAGCCTTCCTGGTATATATATTCACAGCTTGGCTCCAGGATCTGTGGCTAAAATGGATGGAAGATTAAGGTTAGTCCTGAACTGTTTTCTTAAAGAAGGCTTTCTCCCACTGCATCGTTCATTCAGCTCCACCCAGCTCCACAAGATTCTGGGTAGCTTATGACATGAAAAGCAGAGAACAGTAAAGCACCAGGAACAAATGTCATACAGCATATATATCCAGAAGAAAGCAGATATTTCATTAGATAAAACTCGGTAGGCATCTGGATGTTGTTTTCATTGCAATGAAAATTGCCCATTTATTATAACTCCGTTTGGGCACTTGAACACATCTTGGATTCTGCTATGTCCCCCCCCCCCATCCCACCTGTGCTGCCATGGTACCAATGGCAGATACCAGAGCAACAGCCAGCAGAGCAGAACTTGCTCCCATTAGCTAATAGATTATTCTGAGTGAAAGCCCCCATCCCTCCCGCTTCTGCTGTAATAGGATCAATAGGTAGGGTACCCTCTCTTATGCCTAAGACAGGGGTAGGCAACCTTAGCTCTTTTATGACTTGTGGACTTCAACTCCCAAAATTCCTGAGCCAGCCATTGTGGCTCAGGAATTCTGGGAGTTGAAGTCCACGAGTCATAAAAGAGCCAAGGTTGCATACCCCTGGTCTAGGAGCACAACATGATCGTCTCCAAACCTATTTGATGCCACTTCCTTTTTAAACTCTTATCTGGCAAGGTATAGAGACTAAGGAAGATAATCTTGAGGAGATATACAAGAACCGTTACCCAAACAAAAGGAGCTGAAACATAGTTTAAATTCAGAACTATGAGATAGGGAGGGTGCAGTGAACTAATGGTTAAGATGCTGGGCTTATTGACCGGAAGGTTGGCAGTTCGAGACTCAAGCACCACGTGGCAGAGTGAACACCCATTCTTGCCCAGGTTCCTGCCCACCTAGCAATTTGAAAGCATGAAAACGCAAGTAGATAGGTACCACTTTGGTGGAAAAGTAACAGTGTTCTGTGAGTTTTGGCATATACTCATGCTGCCCACATGACCACAGAAGTGTCTTTGGACCAGTGGTTCTCAACCTTTTTAATGCTGTGACCCCATAATACAGTTCCCCATGTTGTGGTGACCCCCAAGTGGGTGTGGCCACCAATAAGAGGGAGTAGGACAGGTAGGGAAAAGGGAAAAAAATGGTGGACAGCGTGGTTTGGTGACCCCCATGAAATGGTCATTCGACCCCAAATGGGGTCCCGACCCACAGGTTGAGAACCACTGCTTTGGACAGTGCTGGCTCCCTGGGCTAGGAAAAGGAGATAAATACTGCCCCTAGAGTCAGTCACGACTGGACAGGGAAAACCTTTACCTTGATTATGAAGATATGATTTGGAAGTATTTCAGGCAGATGTCTCCCTAATTCACTGAACTATAAGACGAAGGAGGAGATACAGCACAACTGTATTTCCCTGAATTAATTTCCTCATCTGGTCTATCTGTGGGGCTATCAGAGTGATAGGAAGGGGTTGTAGTCAGATTCCTATTATGCTCAAAAAAACCACCTCAAATCCAGTTCACGTTTCTGAACCCTTAGGAAATGCACTTCTTATACAGTAGTTTGTGGCAATCCAAGACACTGTGTGCTTGGCTATGATTGCGGTCTAATAGCAGTTCTGGATATCTCTAGATATTTCGTACTTTTTTCTCTTTGGTTTGTTTTGTGTCATATTAAAGATGGCCAAAACGTCACTGGGAGACTAGTGGCATATACATTTAATTATTATTTCAGGTAGGTCTTGCTTAACAATGCTTATTGGGACTGGAAATTCAGTTGGAAAACAATAGTCAGAAGTAAAAAAAAAAACAGATGACTGTGCCATTTAGCGACAGCACTTCTGGCAATGCTGGTTGCCTTGCCATTAAGCAAGGACTGTGAGGACCTCACGTGACCGTGACTTGCGAATTTCTGTCTGCTTCCCTGTTGCCTTGGCTTGTGGGAATCTGTAGGGCAAGTCGCTAATCTTGGTCATGTGACTATAGGATGCTGCACCAGCTGTAATTGTGAAGACTGTTTGTAACTGCCATAAATTTGAATGGTCACTGAATAAATGGTAATTAAATGAGGATTAGCTTTATTATTAATTTGAGAGAGACATTGGGAGCCACATCCAGTTTGGTAGACCTCTTTTTGATCTTTATGACTACTGTTTCTATACCCCTAAATTAAACACTTGCATTATAGCCCTACAGAATAAGTGGGTTGCCAACTACTGAAGGATTTTAGACTAGATACTTATCACTTCAGGTCAGATTCATTAATTCATGTCAGATACATTTTTTTAATTTTTGGGATTATAGATAATACCAGAATTTTTAAAATCTGGGTTATGGTAGCTGGGGAAACCTTTTTGTGACCATCTAAAGTAGTAGTCCTGGACCTAAATGCTTCCAGATGTTTGCATAATGCAAAAATATACAAAGGTGAAGAAACTGATTTTAATATTTTACAGACTATTCCCTTAAAATATATTGAGGCTGTTGACCTCTCTATTGCTTGTATTAAGAAGGAAATAGATATGACTTCTCGCCATTCTTTTCTGTTTTGTAAATCTCCAAGTTGGATCTCTGAGTTTAGAGAATTTAGCATCAGTAAACTCAATGAAGGAAAAAGGGAGAACCCAAATCATTGATACAGTTTGTTGTTATTGTTAAACTCATTTCCAGGCTTCCATCAGAAAAAATAGTCAGATACCTTAGCATAATGATTATGATATGAATAAAGTGATCCTAAGAGACTACAGCTATCCAGCCACAAATATGCAGATAATCATTTGTACAACTCCAAATCCCTTTTGAAGGGACTACATTTTCAGGGTCTTCCAGACATAGTGATGGAATCCCAAATAAGGATTTGCGTAGTTAAAGTGCCATTACTATTCTCACCAACTTGACTTTGGATGATGGTGGTTGAAAAGAATTTATAATATATTAAATTGTATCTACATCCACTTTTCTTCAACAATATCAAATTATTCTCATTCTCATAGCCCTTTTGTGAGAAGATAGAGAAATAGTGATTCATCCAGGCTTATTATAGTAATAAACCTTATAGCTGACTGAGGTATGAATTCAACTATTTGCGATCCTTGCCCAACATTCAATATTATCTCTAGTTAATAATTTACATTTCAGTCTGTATCTATACTTAATCTGTACTTCCTGTATAAATGGAATACAGATTGGAGTGGAAAGGTTTTGCTATGTTTTTATAGAAGCTAGACCAAAGTATATAAAAATTACAGATTTTATCATGCATATGTGTAAAGTTCTGCATTGAATATTCATATAACTAACTCAAAAACAATTTGGAACAGAGAAAGATGATGATATATGGAAGTGCTATAGCCAGAAAACAGTCTAATTAATTTATGCTGGTCTCCCACTAATCTGCAAGGAAAACGAGTTTGTGGCTATGGGAAATGCCTGCTTAAAATTGCGGAGTTGCAGACTAATCAGGATCAGCTGTTTCATGCTACATGACCTTTACTGATTTAGATTAAGGCAATTTGATTCAATCTTTATTACAGTCACAGAACGGCACATAGACTAAAACAATATTTTCTAAACTTGTTTGTAACATGTTTTCTCCTCATATAAAAATCCTAACGATCCCTTGCATTATTTGCAACATAGAGGTGGTAGGTTTAGTCCAGGGGTAGGCAACCTTGGCTCTTTCATGACTCGTGGACTTCAACTCCCAGAATTCCTGAGCCAGCATGGCTCAGCTTGGAAACCTCTCCCTTTCCCCTCAGCATGGCTGGCTCAGGAATTCTGGGAGTTGAAGTCCAGGAGTCATAAAAGAGCCATGGTTGCCTACCCCTGGTTTAGTCCGTCTGGTTCCCTTGAGCAGAGGATCCCTAAGCCACCTTCCCCAAATCTCTATTGCATTTTCCCACACTTTTGGGGAGATGCTAACTCAGTACAGGTAGTCCTTGACTTATGATCACAATCGAACCCACAATTTCTGTTACCAAGCAAGGCAGTTTTTAAGTGAGTTGTGCCCCATTTTAGGACCTTTCTTACCACGGTTGTTAAGCGAATCGCTGCAGTTAGGTGAATCAGGCAGTCGTTAAGTGAATCTGGCTTGACTTTGCTTGTTAGAAGCCATTTTTCTTCTTCCGTCTTTTTTTTTTTTTTTTACAAAAAAAGCACTGAATATTACCTTCTTCTTTTAGTAACAGAGCCAAGCAGGTGCATTAAAGGTAAAATGTTTTGAAAATGAAAGTGCTGATTCTGTAGTGGAATTCAAGTCTTTTATTATCTACATAAAGGTTGAGAAATCAAATAGAGTTAAAAGAGAACTAAAGGAGAAAAGAAAACAAGGAACAACTAATTTGGGAGAGGGAGCTGGTTACATAGACACAAACAAAGCAAGATCCTAACAACTCAGATCAGCCTATCAAGCAGAGTTAAATCTATTTCACAACTGGAAAAGTAATTTCACAGCTCCACTGATTCCTAGCTAGTTATGCAATTTTTAGAGTTTCAACTCTGATTTTAAAGGATTTTGGGTTGTAGCTTAGCTGGCTTTTAGAAAAGCCCACCTGAAAGGGAATTCTTCTGCTTTTGATTAGATCCTCAGAATTTGGTTTCTTTTTTAACATTGACTGAATCAGCAGTGTTAAAATGATTAGACATTGGGTCGATTTGATTATTAAATAAAGATCTCCTCATCTGGAACTTTGTTTATATATAATTTTGTTAAATAAGGATGGGAAAGCTTTAAACTATTTGTAGACCTGTTATGTAAGGGAAGGAGAATTTATCAGGTATTATTATTATAAATTATTATTATTGATCATTGCACAGTCAGCCAGATGTTCAGACTGGATTTGGCATTTTGTCTACCTATCGAGTCCTTACCCAGGACCTGGGATAGGCAGATGTGGATGTTTGATGGTATTACAGATATTATTATTATTATTATTATTATTATTATTATTATTATTATTATTATTATTATTATTATTATTATCATCATCATCATCATCATCATCATCATCTTTTTAGCATCCAGCGGGGCTAGACTTTTTATGAGTGACATTAAATTTATTTGATATTTGGAATATTTTTCTCTTTTTTGTACACATTTGTTTTTGTTTTTGTTGTTGTTAGTGTTGAATGTATATTTTTCTGTTTTGCATTTTATTCTTGTTGATAAAACAATATATATAGTTTCTTTTCTCCTCCCAGATTTTATGTTGACGAGCACTATAAATTGGATTTATAGTCAAGCTATAACTGTTTTCTGTCTGAACTTTTTGTGGTTAGAGGTCTCCCTCTTCCCTACTTCCTATCTGTGAAATGACACCATTAAAGTTGATGTCTGTCTTTTTCTTTAGCCGTGGTGATCAGATCCTGGAAGCAGATTCGGTCAGTTTGCGTCACGCAGCGCTGAGCGAAGCTTATGCCATTTTAAGTGAATGTGGACCAGGCCCGGTTAGCCTTATCGTTAGCCGACATCCTAACCCAAAGGTATGAAACAGAATGGAAGATATTCAGTTTTTCTCTACAGCATTTCCCTCTGAGCCTTGCACAATGGTTTTACAAGTAAAAAAGTATATTAGTACAAAAAGATACCTGAATAGATCAACCCTCTTAATTCTCTGCTAGCATGGCCAAAACCCACAGAGTTGTGATTGTGATAACTGACATCCAAGACATCTAGAAAACCTGGGTTAATATATTTTAATTTTTCCTCACAATCTAGAAATAAATCTATTAGATATTTTCAGACCCCAAGCTACCTGATCACTGTAAAATCTCAGGGAGTAACTACTATACCTTGTTTTATACTTTGTAACATTTTTGCTCTTCTTTGTTATATAAATAGCTTACAACACTCATTTATGATTTATTCTGGTCCCCTAAGGCAGAAGAAGGCAATTTATATGCTCTCCATATAACTAAGGCTAAGACTTCCACAGTCCATTGCTATCCCCTGCATTAATATGTATCAAAGGGCCTTTTATATAAAATCCTACTTACTGTATAAGATTTCTCTGGGTGAAAAGTTACAGTTTCTACAGCCAGGTTCACACAAAACTCTAAACCATAATCTATGAACCTGCCTATCATGGTTATTTACTGATTTGCTAGTCTGTCATTTTCCAAAAATTGCAGAAAACATATGTGGTTTGTTCAGCTTCAGCAAAATTTGTATTTAAAAAATTCTGATTTAATATCATGTGTGAATTCAGTTGTAAAGCATATAATTTGCTCATTAATTCAGTACAAAGGGGGTGGAGGTATTTATATGGCTCATTCTGTTCAAGGATTTGTATCCGTTGATGTTGTAGAGTAAAACATAAAGATATTTTTTCTTAGAAGATCATAAGAAAAATAGGTATTTTCCTGCGCTTTTTAATATAAGCGCATAATTAAAAAACACAGATGTGAATGGATGCCTAGGCTCTTCTTCATTCCTTTAAAGAAATTTTCAAAGGAAATTCATATCAGGTTGATTTCCAAAAGATATTCTGTTAATAAGCAAAGATTTGAATGTTTTTGTCCAATATTTTTTAGAGATTACTTTTTACTACTTTGCATTTTGTTATTGTTCTAGTTTCTATATATAAAATTCTATCTCTTCATTGTTCCTTTATTAAATTTAGGGTGCTGTTCTTACCCTCACTTTCTATTTCATTTTATAGACAATTTTATGGGCACAAACTACCCTTCTTTATATATATATATATATATATATATATATATATATATATATATATATATACGGTTAAAAAGGTTAAAAATATGAACCCTGGGAGTATACATGGTGAAGAAATAAAATGAACACCAGGGTAATAAAAACTGTAAAAGTTTTTAATTAATTAAAACTATAAAAGTTTAATTAAAAGCGCCAAGCTTTCGCCGTCACCTGCCGGCATCTTCAGGGCTAGCGCGCCAGAGAATGAGGAAGTCCTTTATAGGCGTGTCAAGGTTTGCGCCCGGCTCCTTGACCTTGTTATCGGGCCTGATTGATTCAATTGCGTACGGTTAACCTGTTTTTCCTTTCTCTTTTTGGTTGCATTTCTATCTTCATCCATCCTTATTTCTCTCAACCTTGGGGTGGTTGGGTGGCAACTCCAGTTGTTTCGGTTGTCTTTGCATTCTGACCTCCCCCCAGGTTCAGGTGGTAGTGCACATTCCACATTCCTTTCACAGCCATGTCCTACCCAATTGTTCCTTTTAAAGTAACTTTCCTTTTTAGTCCCAATACTTTCATTTTTGGTGCGCCCGTCATCCGGATGGTCTTGCGAGCTGTTACGAGTCAAATACGGTGTGGGGGGGTGTTCAGCAAGGTGGAGGGGTCGTTTCCTGGTCATCGCCATACCCAGCTGTCTTGCGCGCGTCCTGCTTCGGGTACTCGGTCCGGGGTGTGTGTGTGTGGTAGTCGAATCACGCTCCTTCTGGCTGTCATAACGTTTCTCTTCGGCTCTCCCCCTTTCTGCACTGTTGGTGTTCGTGTGCATTCCATGGGAATTCTCAGGATCATCGGGTAGGGGGCGTAACGACTCAATCCCTCGCACTCCACCGCTCTCTGATCTTCTCCCCTCCTCTCCGGCGGTGCTCGGAGGTTCGTCGTTGGCCATATCCCGTGATCTATCCCCCCTAAGTCTGATCGCTCTGGCTGCGCGAGGGGGTCTTCTCCTCCCTTCCGGACCGGCCACGATGTTTCTTTTGGCGCGCAGGCGAGCTGTTACGTTTGGCGATTCCCCCGCGCCTCCACCTGCCGTATCCTCCTTCATCTCGTTCTCACTATCAGAACTCCAGATCTCAGTTTCCACCACCCCCCTAGTCCTCTGGGATTGCGGTAGCCTCACTGGGATGGTCGGGGTGTCCCGCAGTTGCCCTTCCTCCTCCGGATTACACCAGGTCTGTTGGGCAATTTGCCCTTCCTCTTTGGTATCACCGGGATTATTATTAAGCCATCGGGGGTGTTGCCGCTGATTATTAATGCTCCATGATCTTAAAGCCACGTATGCCGGGCATAGGTCAACATGCCTGTTAATAGATCTATTATCCGAGAGCCATGCCTCCCTAAGTAGGCGGCCCCCTTTGGTGTTATCATTCGCCAATACGCTGACGCCACTAAAATTAAACCTATGGCCCAGATCTACCGTGTGTGCCCATATCTGGGAGTAACAATCTCCCCTTCTCACTGCCAATCTGTGTTCGTGGACCCTGGTCTTAATCCGTTTAGCAGTCTCCCCAACGTAATTGCACTGGCAGTCCATGCAATCAATCCTACAAACGGCTGCCGATCTTTCAGTGTTGGGGAGTGGGTCCTTGGGGCGCATTATAGCCGCCCGCAGTGTTTGGTTTGGTCTATGGGCTACCTGTATGTTATACGGTGCCAGGATCCTCGCTGTGGCTTCTGATACATTATGAATATAGGGGAGGGTGATACGTGTAGTTGCCTGAGGTGTGGATTCTTGGGATGTAAGGTTACCCCGGGGTCCAGGTGGTTTACTGAACTGATTAATAAACTTTACCGGGTAACCATTACGTCTACACATTTGGAAGAGATGGTTTCTCTCTTCCTTCTTGGCTCTGACGGTGCTGCAGTGTGTCTCCACCCATTTGAATAATGTCCTGACACAGCTGACTTTATGGGCCATCGGATGATTACTCCCAAAATGGAGAATCCTGTCCGTACATGTTGGTTTTCGGTACACCCTGGTAGCCAGACATCCATCCACCTGGCGCTGCACTAATACATCCAGGAATGCCAAACTGCCCTGATCTTCCTCTTCCATAGTAAATTGGATGTCTGGGTATACCGAATTCAAAATGCCCATAAAGTCAGTCTTGTGTCGCTTCTTGATGACCGCAAACGTATCGTCCACATAGCGGGCCCAGAATTTTGGTTGATACCGGGCCATCGCTATGTGTTCCAACTGTTGGAGTACTATCTCTGCAACCACACTGGAGATCGGCGACCCCATAGGTGTTCCTTTAATTTGTTCATATATAGTACCCTGAAAGGTGAAATAGGTGTTAAGGCATACTCCCATCAACTTTATAAGATCTTCCGTTTGAAGGGAGTCCTGGCGCTGCTCATGGTCTCCTTGATTTAACCGGTCTCTTAGGACCGTAACCGCAAGTTCTTGCGGGATGGAAGTAAACAATGAAACTACATCAAAGGAGACCATGAGCTCATCTTCTTCCACCCTCAGGGTTTTAATTCTATTGAGGAATTCTTCTGCCGATCTCACAGTGGTATTGCTGTTATTTGCCAAGTGGCTGATGCGAGTGCTCAGCCACTTGGCAAGTTCAGAGATAGGGGTACCCCTAAATGCTTTGTTACTCCCAGATATCCACCATCCTTAGAAACCCCAAAGATAAAATTGAATTAGAAAATCAAGGAGTATACGAAATCCCATGCACCACTTGTCCCACCACATACATCGGACAAACCAACAGAAGAATAAGTGCACGCATTCAAGAACATAAGAACTCAGTCAAAAAAGAGGAACCAACATCGTCCCTGGTCCAACACCTTAAAGCCACAGGACATGAAATTGACTTTAAAAATACCAGAACCATTGCCAAAAGTGAAAATTTTAATAACAGAATAATCAGAGAAGCCATCGAGATAGAAAAACGCCCACACAGCATGAACAAACGAGATGATACCTCCCGCCTACCAGCCATTTGGAAACCCGCCCTTATTGAAAAACGACTCCCTAACACAAAAAAATGATACCAGACCCACACTCACAAAAACCACACAGGATGTCACCACCACACATCCACGCAAAAAACAAACCCAAAGCCACACCGATGATGAGGCACGACCACAAACCAGAAGCCAGACCACAGCTGCATCATTAGCCCTTTAAACCCCTCTAATCCATACATGAAGCAAACTGACACCCTCCATGAAGATGAGGCACGACCACGAACGCGAAGCCAAAAACTAGCAAGGCAGCCCAAAATCTTAAACCCTCTTGCAACTCAGACTAACCTGAGCACAACCAAACAGAACACTCCCCCAGCCAATCAGAGCACAGCCAACCCCCCAGCCAATCAGAGCACAGCCACGCCCCTAACCAATCAGAACACCCCTCCACCCAATCAGAACACAGCCAAGCTCCCACCCAATCAGTTCATACCCCCACTGGCAGTTAAAAGGAAGAAACAGCTAAGACCACACATTGCTGCTCGAAGCACGAAGCTGAAAACACCAGCCTGAAGATGACGAATGGGACTTCGTCGAAACGTCGCCAAGATACTTCCAATTTACGCGGGAGAAAACCCGAACAACCAAAGACCTACATACAAACACCCGCGAAAATATATATATATATATATGTTTTCTGAGGTTTTCGCGGGTGTTTGTAGGTCTTTGGTTATTCAGGTTTTCTCCCACGTAAAATTGGAAGTGTCTTGGCGACGTTTCGATGAAGTCCCATTCGTCATCTTCAGGCTGGTGTTTTCGGCTTCTTGCTCCTAGAAGCACGAAGCCTAAAACACAGCCTGAAGATGACGAATGGGACTTCGTCGAAATGTCGCCAAGACACTTCCAATTTTATGCAGGAGAAAACCCGAGTAACCAAAGACATATATGTATGTATGTATGTATGTATGTATGTATGTATGTATGTATGCTAATCTACATTCCATCAGACAGAATTGTTTTTGTTCCAAAATTACCTGGTATTTTCTTTTTGAAAGTATTTCCAAAACCAGTGCCACAGGTTATATTTTTCTTTGTTTGTTTTTTTGAGTAAATGTGGGTTTGAAAGCTGATTTAAGCTACTAAGTTTGCTTTGGAACATATACAGTTCCTTTCTGTTATAGGAGTGTGCCTTGAGTTTTGAGTTACACCAAAGTCAAACAAAAAGGATTGGTTCTACATATACATCCCTTTCCTTTCAGTTCCCGCCTTTAAATTGAAATGCTGCTGCTGATTTCTTGGAGGCTAAAGTATCCCTTATCCATTTTTTTTAAATAGCTGGGTAATGAAAAGGAAACTATAATAACAAATTATATCTTAGAAATCCACTAGCCTAACTCTCTTTTAAGCCCATAATCCATTAGAATATCTCTAATAATGAACAATCCAGACTGTATAGCTTACCGTGAGAGCAATTAATCAGTGGAACCACTTTCCTCCAGAATAGGTGCTCCAATACTGGAAGTGTTTAAGAACAAACTGGATAACCATTTGTCGGAAATGGTACAGGGTTTCTTGCCAGAGCAGGGGGTTAGACTAGAAGACCTCCAAGGTCCCTTCCAACTCTGTTATTCTTTACTTCCAGTAAAGGAGAACTCATTCTTTCATGGGCCAGTCTATTCTATTGGCAGTTCACAGAGCCAGAACATTCCCCTTGATGTATATCCTTTCCTTGTAATTTTAACCTATTGGGTCAGGTTTTACTTTCTGGGGAATTCAACATTATCCATGTTCTTCTCTTTGAAAACTTTCAGATATTTGAAGACTAGAGGAGTCTGCAAGTGAGGGTAAAATGACGAAAGCAGGGTTGCGCCATTGTGATGCAAGCTCCTCCCCTTTTGTACATGCATTGTGATATCATATTCTCATACAACTAAGCCTCAGAGTCTGCAGTTCCATCCTCAATCATCTTTTCTGTAGGTTGTATACCTCCAGATTCTTTAGCCATTCTTCACAGTCTTTCCTTTTAAAGAATACATCAATTCTACTACAGTTTTACAAAGTTCCATATTATGCAGAGGTGCTTGTGCTTATCTACTGGGAATTTACTTCCTTTCCTTCCTCCTGAAGGCTCCAGACCTACTAACTCCCTAGAGAAGATCCGGGGAGGGAGAAGGCAGGGGCTCAAGGAGAAAGATCCATCAGCAGCATCTGTTTTGATGACAATCTTTGTGCGTCTTAGGAGGCACATACAAGAAAAGATATGGATGGTTTTTTGGGAGATGGTTGGGGGCGTTGCATGGAGTCATATTTTGATGCTGGGGAGCTAAAGCAAAATAAAAGCATTATATCCAGGAAAAGTCCAACATATTACATTTAAATTTCTACTTGCAAAAAGATGTGGTAAATACTGTACTGCTAAAACTTGGACCTTTGCTGCACCCTCAGCTATGCAAATTTAGGAAATGGCACAGGAATAAAAGAACTGGTACATACCACAGTTTGTACATCATTATTCAAATGGACGCTCTAATTAGATCCAACTCACAGAACATGTAGACAATAACAACAAACAAGGATCATTGTTTAATTTGATCATGTACCATCAAGTTAGTGTCTAGTCTTAATAGCCATACGGAGACATTCTTTATGTCTTCCAGTGGTGCAGCCATCCCACTGTAATGGAAAAACAAAGGCCATACAATTAATAACATCAAATGGATAAATGTTTTACAGAACTAATTGTTCTCAGAGCTGTTACATGTTTGAAGGTCCCTAAGCCAAGATGTTCATTTTTGTCTTCTAGTTCAGAGGGTTTTTGGGCTCCTAATGCCACTCCATGCGATACTAGATTTCAAACTGTGATTAGTGGGAAGCTTTACTTCAAAATCACGAAGAGAAAAGAAAAGAAATCTGTGTTACACAGCCTACATCAGCACTTTCAAGATTTCTGTTTTCCATATTAAAAGAATGTACATGTACTTTGAAGTAATATATTTTGCTATTTCCTGAATATACCTTTAGATCCCTTTTTTTCCAATTTAATAATAGGTTTCTGAACAGGAGATGGATGAAGCCATAACACGAACCACCCACAGAGAAAACAAGGATGTCTCTTCTCCTCAGTCCTCAGGTATGCATCTGTTTCTAAAATTGCACCAGATTTGACTCTTCTTTTACAGTATAGATACATCCCTAGAAAGTTTGTTCTGTGCACATTTTGTGCAAAGGGAAGTTACATTTTATTTCCAATTAATTGGACAAATAAACAGAAGTATCTGCTGAGGAAGTAAAAAAATCAAGATGGTGGCCATAGCTATGCTGGAATGGACCTCATGGTCTCCATCCCACACAAATGGCTGTCCAGTCTTTTCTTGAAGACTTCCCACAATTCCAGGAGGCAAACTGTTCCATTGAAGCTATTTATTTTACTTCTCTCACACAGAAAGACACACAGACAGACACACAGACACACACTATAAAAAAAGAAAATTTTCAGGGATCAGTTGTAACTGTAACTGCAGCTTCTGGATCTGTTAAATTCTACCTTAGCACAACAACTTATAAGATTGGCTCTTATTTACTCTTAATTCTCTAGTTAGGCAGGTGGTTGTTTTAGAAATCTAACAACCACCTTTTCCATATGTTATCATATTATAGCCAATTTTATCTTTGCTGAAAAGGTGAATTGATTTATTAGTCCACACATGTTTAGTGCCAACTTTTTTCATCCAAATGCAGTGGAATAAAACATAAAACAATTCACATATCAGTATTCAGCAAGAGATGAGGAACTAATTGAGGGTTATATAACTTTGTTCAGGCTGAGAGCAGTGCAACAACAACAACAACAATAATAATAATAAGCGTCTTGGGTGCAATCCCAAAACAACTGGAGCACCACTTGAATACCATTGGCATTGACAAATTCACTATTAGTCAATTGCAAAAGGCGGCCTTACTAGGAACTGCTTCCATCCTGCGATGATATCTGTAATACCATCAAACATCCACATCTGCTTATCCCAGGTCCTGGGTAAGGACTCGATAGGTAGACAAAATGCCAAATCCAGTCTGAACATCTGGCTGACTGTGCGATGATCCATAATAATAATAAAGTTGGAAGGGACCTTGAGGTCATCTGGTTCAACCCCCTGCTCAGGCAGGAAACCCTATACCATTTCAGACAAATGGCTGTCCAGTCTCTTCTTAAAAACTTCCAGTGTTGGAGCATTCACAGCTTTTAGAGGCAGTTTGTTCCACTGATTAATTGTTCTAACTATTAGAAAACTTCTCCTAGTTCTAGGTTGCTTCTCTCCTTGATTAGTTTCCATCCGCTGCTTCTTGTCCTGCCTTCAGGCGCTTTGGAGAATAGCTTGACTCCCTCTTCTTTGTGGCAACCCCTGGGATATCTAATTACCCTAGTCCTTCTCTTCGTTAAACTAGACATATCCAATTCCAGCAACCGTTCCTTATATGTTTTAGCCTCCGGTTCTTTAACTGATGAGGAAGTGAATAGGGACAGAACTAAATCTGATTTAACTGACATTAAATATGGCTACAAATTCTGGAAGGTTTCCTTATAACATATTTTCTATCCCTAATTTTTCTTTATTCTTATGCTTATCAGTTCTGAGGTTTGCGAATCATTTATTTCTTTTGCGTATATTTGAACTTTTCTTTGGCTGATAAGGCTAACAAAATAAAAAAATCCAGTTAACATGATAATGCCACCTGGCTTCAATAGAGTCCCCTTTTAGTCACATTAAAAACGAAAAATTGTCACATGAAGATCAGCGATTGGTTATGGAGGCAGCATGTAATACTGACATTTTAGACTGAGCATCCCTGAACTAGGGTAACACTCCTATTTGCTAATACAGGGGTCTTCAAACGTGGCCATTTATGACTTGTGAACTTCAACTCCCAGAATTCCTCAGCTAGGCACACTGGCTGAGGAATTCTGGGAATTGAAGTCCACAAGTCATAAAAGGGCCAAGTTTGAAGACCCCTGTGCTAATATGAAAATCCAGTCATGGTGGACCAAAGTCTCCTAAAACTAGATTGGCTCAAAATGACTCATGGTGCATTCTTCTGCTGCTGCTGTTGTTGCTGCTTCTGAGTGTAGAGCAAAAAGGAATTTTCCTCCAAACCTAACAGAAAAGATATTATTTTCTTTTCATGCTGCAATTTTTATGATACTTTTTGTGCTGCACAGTTGAGAAGCCTGCTCAGTTTGGACTCGTCAAAGAGCAATTCACTGGTATAGCAATAGAGCTGGCTGGCTGAACGTAGCTGAAGTACTCCAGTTTTTCATGGCCAATATTGTCTCTTTCTGTTCTTACTGCCAAGGGGGAAAAAATGTGGTCAGTGCAGCAATAGGAAATGGAGGAAAGGAATGCCTCATCTGTCTTTAGCCCTGGCTTCCCTTTGTTCTGCGCTGTTGGCTTTGTTGATGGTGGCTGTCCTGGAGGAGAAAACTTTCTTGGCTAGCCAGCATCATCAGACTCTAGACTCTTTGGAGGAACTGATCCAACCCTGAAATCCTCTTGGGTAGAGTTAGAATTCAAAGGGGCCTAATTTTCCTTCGGGTTTGAACAGCCACAAGCTCATATTGTGCTAGCTGTGATCTCTGTGCTACTCTCTCTGTGCAAGTCAGCGAGTGAACTGTGCAGTCATTTCTAGAAAGACAATGAGAAGCCAGCCTTCCCTCCCAGTAAAGTCAAATGTGGAGGGCCTGTGGACATGTTACTTCACAAGCTAACGTCTTCTTTGCCGAACCCAATTGTTTTTAACAGGAAACCTGCCAAAAAGTCCATCTCCAGGCGTGAAGTCTAAACAGACAGAAGCTTCCTCGCCCCTGAGCTGGACAATGAAACGTTTCTTGGAGCCGGCGAGTCGGGTAAACCTATTGAATTCCACCAAAAAACTTTAAAGAGGGGGGGGGGGGTCCTGTTGCTTAGAAAAAAATGGGAGTCCCTTGCACACACACACACACACACACACACACACACACACACATCCATGGGTGTCCTTCAAGCCATAGAAGGTCTGGTGATTCTTCTGTTTCTTTTCTTGTAGATAGAGCAAGGAGGGGAGAAGCAGGGGAACAGATACAGGGGAGGGTGGATTTTCTCATTGGTTGTATTGTCCCACCAGGGATTTCTTTTGTCAAGAGTGTTTCAGAGGTTGCGTTCTCACAAGAGGAAAGTACACCTACGAACACAACACCTGCCAGGAAGTTCCCATGCATGACAGAGCTGAGTCCCTCTTCCCATTCTTACCTTCAATACATCAAATAGTAAAGTCCCTGAAGGTCATCTTGTCTGTCTAAAAGTTTCTGGGCACGTTCCAGTAAATACACAAGGTCCTTTTCTGCAAAACGTATCAGGGTCAGAAATAGAGATTGTAGAGCCTGCATTCTCGTTCTTGCTCTCTGCCCTCTCTCTTTTTTTTTTTTTAAAGCTTTCATGTGTTCAGGGAGAAGGCTGACAAAGCGTTGAATTCAGTTGAAAAGCCAGACTTTTCCACATTAAGGAGCAATTGCTAAGTCGTTTTTCATTTTTTGTTTCCAGCTTTTTCTTTGTTTCATGCTGTTAATTAGAACGGGACTCCTTTTCCTAGGACAAGTAGCCCATCACCAGACTTTATATATATATATATATATATATATATATATATATATATATATATATATATATATATATATATATATATATAGGCTTATTTTGAGCAGCAGTAGTATGTTAAAGCTAAAACATATAAGGAACGGTTGCTAGAATTGGGTATGTCTAGTTTAACGAAGAGAAGGACAAGGGGGGACATGATAGCAGTATTCCAATATCTCAGGGGCTGCCATAAAGAAGAGGGAATTAAGCTATTTTCCAAAGCACCTGAAGGCAGGACAAGAAGCAACGGGTGGAAACTAATCAAGGAGAGAAGCAACCTAGAACTAAGGAGAAACTTCCTGACAGTGAGAACAATTAATCAGTGGAACAGCCTGCCTCCAGAAGCAGTAAATGCTCCAACACTGGAAGTTTTTAAGAAGAGACTGGACAGCCACTTGTCCGAAATGGTGTAGGGTTTCCTGCCCGAGCAGGGGGTTGGACTAGATGACCTCCAAGGTCCCTTCCAACTTTACTACTATTATAAAACTGAATAATTTAGAAAACGAATGAAATGGTGGTAAAAAGAGTGGCAGAATCTAAATCAATGTTTCTGAATCTTGGCAAACTTTAAGATGGGTGAATGCCAATTCCCAGAATTCCTCAGCCGGTATATAATGAACTAAAGGAAGTCCTCTACTTATGACCACTATTGAGCCCAAAATTTCTGTCGCTAAATGAAACATTTGTTAAGTCAGTTGTGCCTCATTTTATGATTTTCTTGCCACAGTTGTTAAGTAAACCACTGTAGTTGTTAGTAACCTGATTGTTAAGTGAATCTGGCTTCCCCATTGACTTTGCTTGTCAGAAAGCTGAAACTGGTGATCACATGACCCTGGGACACGGCAACCGTCATAAATACAAGTCAGTGGCCAAGCGTCTGAATTTCAATCACATGACCACGGGGATGCTGGAATGGTTATAAGTGTGAAAGATGGTCATAAGGCACTTTTTTCCAGTGCCGTTGTAACTTTGAACGGTGACTAAATGAACGTAAGTCGAGGACTACCTATACCAAGGGTAGGCAACCTTGGCTCTTTTATGACTCGTGGACTTCAACTCCCAGAATTCCTGAGCCAGCATGGCTGGCTTAGGAATTCTGGGAGCTGAAGTCCACGAGTCATAAAAAGCCAAGGTTGCCTACCCCGACCTATACCAATCTAGAGGAATTCTGGGAGTTGACGTCCACGCATCTTAAAGTCTCCAAGCTTCAGAAACTCTGATCCAAAGGAATGAACCAAGGAATGAGCAAGCAAAACAATAGGAAAGAGAGCAGGAACTTGTAGCATGTAGGATCTTCCATCTTGGGGACTGATTGCTGCGACATCCCATTTTCTCTTTCTGTATTTATTTCAGCAGAGCTCCATCAATTCTGAAACGGAGCTTTCCCAATACTTCTTACAAGATGGGGCAAGCCAATTGTCCCTCTCGGAGACTACAGTGACTGGATCCAGTGATGAAGAGCAGTTTCGACCCAAGAGTAGGAGCAGTTCCCTAGAAGAGAGTTTTCTTTCTTCTGGCCTTCCAGGTAGGAGTCATGGCAAAGCTTCCAACGTTATTGCCCTTCTCAAACTGCATACAATTGGGTAGAATTTCACTCTATTTCACTCTACGGCAGGGGTGGGGAACTGTGGCCCTTTTATGACTTGTGGACTTCAACTCCCAGAATTCCTGAGTCAGCCATGCTGGCTCAGGAATTCTGGGAGTTGAAGTCCACAAGTCATAAAGGGGCCATAGTTCCACACCTCTGCTCTACAGCATACTATACTTAATCCGTTCAATAACCGGAGTTACCTGAATAGATTGCGGAATTATTTAAAAGATAATTTTAAAAAAACAGCAGCAGGGTAGAGCATATGTATAAATAACTCAGTGAAAATGCATGCAAATAAAAATGAATAAAAACTATTATATATAGAGAGAGAAACAGAATGAGAGAGGGTGTGGGTTAGAACTAGTTTGGTGTAGAAACTGGTCTGGCACAGAAAGAAAGCTAGAGTTAGATTTTAAAATGTGATTTAAAATTTTACTTAAAAAGGCTTTAGAGATCTGGACTGATTTAACAATTAACTGAGTATGTGAAGTTAGCAAGATGATATTTTGTGTAACAATATGCTTGTTTTAGATATAATAATTACTTGGACGAGATTTAAATTTTACCTATTTTTTCTATAGAAATAGATTGACTGATAGATTATATACCTAAAATAGAGTAGAGTAATATTATTATTTTAAGTAGGATAAATATTTTGTAATGGAAGAAGAATAGGAGAGATTTGTGATAAGAGAAGAAATGGTATCAATCAATGATCTATTAGACTAAGAAATAGAATATATGTGGAAATATTAGAATGTTACTGTCGGAATACTATGTGTATTGTAGAAGAGATACCCAAAGTGCTAATAATATGTTTATTCAAGACTAAATTGGAATATGGTAATTGTAAATTAGTAAAGCTTAAAAACAGGATTTGGATTTACATAGATGTAATGTTATTGATGATTGTTTTGACTGATTGAATTTCATGTAGAAATGGATTAATCTAAATATGTTATACTATCTGAGGGAAATAGAGAGGGAACTTTTAATGAATTAATTTGAGTTATATATGTATGACTTTGTTTTTGGATGACTGATTACCCCATCACCACGGTGTTTCTTGAGCACTCTGATGTAAAAATTAAAAAACCAATAAAACTTGTTTATATATAAAAAAGAACTAGTTTGGTGCAGTGGTTAAGGCACTAGGCTACAAACCAGGAGACTTATGAGTTCTAGTTCTGCCTTAAGCACAAACCATCTGGGTGGTTACTACTGCTAAAAAGATGCCTTCCACTCTAGTTTTCTATCTTTTTTTTTTTTTACAAAGTCATTTATTATTTTTATAGGAGAGAATAGTAAGAACAGAGGGCAATATGGAAAATGGTGATAGATCAAGTCACTGCATTCTGTGATAATATTGACAAATTCTATAACATGAGTTTATTCTTAGCTGCCAAAGATTCCAGTCTGTGCAGTTCACCAGCTGTTGGCAGTGGCTCACCTGGTCCTCACAGCAAGCCAAGGGAGACAGCTGCTCGGCATGTTAGTTTTAGCGACAGCCCCAAAGGGACCCAGTCTGCTTTCCAAAGACAGAGAAGGATTGCCTTTTATGATGGAGATGTGAGTGATGAGGATGACTTTACCAAACAAGATGGAGTCTGTTTCCAAAGAGGATCGAAGTCAAAAGGTCAAAGGAAAGGAGACAATGACTGTAGTATTTCCACTGCAGCTCCTTCAGCACAAAATGGAGATACCAGGCAGGAGAGAGAATCTGCAACAAATACCTACAGTGACTTAGCTGCCACCAGCTCTGGGAATCTGAACGAGAGCCCTGGGGAGCATACACCAGACACCCCTTTTCTTCTCGATAAAGAACTTCATCATCTTCCAGAGCTTCATCCAGGCTACTTGAATGTGAAGGACTTTCGAGAGGAACAGCTAGAATCTAAGAGGTCTCCTAAGCTAGAACATAAAGCCGTCACTCGAGTGAAAAGCCTGATGAGTATTGAATACCATGGAATCCCAAGGCCCAAGAACGAGGAACATGGTGCTTGCAGCAGAGCCAGTGGGAAGGTCCTTCCATCTATCCAGAAGAATGAAGCCCAAGAGAGTCCCCTAGAGCAGGGCCACGTGGAATCAATTACTTTATCTCGGAATGAAAACGAGTCCTTTGGCCTGGATCTTGAAATTCATGCCAACCCTTTGCGCATCGTCATAACAGGCTTGCAACCAGGCGGAGCAGCTGAAAGGGTAAAAAAAAATGTCTTTCTCTTTATTATCCCTAATAGAATTTCAATTCAGAGGGGAAGTTGAGATCCTGCAAGAAACAGACATAGTAGCCTCAGGACAAATGTTAATTTTGAGAGTCTTGCCTCATGCCTCCACTGTACGTACCCTTTGCTAAATGGGCAATTAATGAATTGATTTAGCCCTGCTTCCCCACCCTACTGACTTAAAATTCTCAGGGTAAGGAAATCACACTATTGTAAAAGGAACCATACTGTAAAAGGAATTAGTAAATATTGCTCACTTTACAAAAACTGAACTCATTTAGAAACAGAATGTATTACATTTTAAAAGGTATGCAGCTTGTTGACAAGAAAGAACAACTATACTGCCATTCAGGGATTTTCAGATTATTTTCAAGATGAAATCATCTTTTGGGAAGCCAAGTTTAATTTGTTAAGTCGATAGCAAAAATTCTATAAATGATGGTATAGATGGCTTCAGAAGGGAATTTCTGCAATGGGAACAAATAGGAAAATCCTGTTTCTGTATCTGAGCTTCTTGGAGACATCCCTTTGGCTGTAATCTGACTCAACAAGGCAGTTACTATTATTTGCATTATATTACAGAATTGCATAGCAAAACAGTGCTTAAATATTACATGGCATAAAATCCAACAACTATGTTTGGGTGTAAAGGCAACTCACTCTTTTGCATTAGAAGAATGAGTTTTACTCCATGGCTAAAATGTGAGGGAATGTTTGAGGAGACCTGACAAAATGTTGCAGGGAGTGGTCTGCATTGCCTCCCCAGGTGGTATTCCAGCCACCAAGGTGTCTTACTACAGTATTTGCACACTTCCCTGTTAACAATGTTTCTAGGACATAACGGGGCTATAAGGACATATATTCTAAAGAAGAATAAGGGGGGAAATGTAAATAATAGATTACCGTTATGCAATTGCTGTAAAAAAAAGGAGGAGTATTAAAAAAAAACCCAATATTTCTAGGACTTTACAAACATTGCAGTGATTCTGTCCTGTATATTGTGTTCCCTGAAGCACATGTTGCAAAGGAAGCCAATCCCACTATAACTGATTGAAATCCAATCAATGTAGCTTAGTACTCTAGGTAGATAAGATAGGCAAGTCAGGTGCGACGAACAAAGTTGGCTTGTAGAAAGGCAGAAACGGGTTCATAAAGAGCTTTAAGTGACTCCTGATAGCTAAGTCTCTTCCTAAGAGACAGCAGCAGACTAAAGCCAATGGAAGCCTCCTACAGGACAGACAATTTTGTCCCATGGTAGAGATTACCTCAACTTGATTTTGCCATCTTAGACTTTTGCCAGGTTAAGAAGTTGGTGGTTCCTCTGGTTCAGAGGATGACAAAAAGGCTCCATCCTCTTGCTGGAAGGACCCTGAATATAGAATGCATTCCCCATTTCTTGGTGAAGCAATTGAGCTTCATCTTCATGTTATTCCGCATCCCGAAATTGTGAGGCTATGACAGTACTGTATTAATAAATGCATTCTTAACAGGCATCCATGGGAAGGATGGTCCCGAGAGATGAGATCCTTTCTATCAATGGTATCCCCATCCGTGGATTCTCTTATGAGGAAGCTTGTCAATATGTAAGACATCTTCCCACCTCCATTACACTGGACATCCAGAAAGCCATTTTGCGTAAGATTTTGTCTTCTTTTTCTGTTCTGTGGTCAATGGGCAGATGTATATAGGTGTTCCTGAACTAATTAAAGACTTTTTAAGAAATCACAAAACTAGACAGGAGCCAAAGCATTCCATAGTTTACTGTCATTCATGCTGTAGCGGCCAGATCTGACTCACTTAAAACAACCACATGACTTGAGGATACAGCTTAAGTTTAGTAGACAGGCACAGCATAAATTACAGCCATCTAGCAGTGCAGGTTTGGCATAGCTGAGGAGTTTGTAGCCTCCACAATCAAAAGGCATTTAGTGATGGAAGTAACCTTTCCTTTTGCAGACAGTAAAATCTAGATGCAACCAAAATGATGCTCGCTACTGGCATAATTAATAACCTTGAATTCTGGGAGAGATTTGTTATTTTTGAAATAGGGGTATCCTGCTTTTTTCCTCAGAAATAATTGAAAACCAAGAGAAGGATTCAATATATACAAAGAAAATATTTACTAAAAAATTGAAATCTACCAAATGTTAAAATCCACTAAAAATCATGAAAATAAAAGCACTTTTTTTTGTCCCCCAACTGAGAAAATTTGGGCTAAAGAGTCTCAGATGAAAAAGTAGTAGGGAATAGTTTCTGAGATAATTTGTGTATGTATGTTAACATGCTTCGGAAGAGGAAGGATTCATAATGAAGCCTGTCTAGCTGTTCTTAATTGGTTGAATATACAGGTAGACCTCCACTTATGACCACAATTGGGGTCAGAATTTCCATTGCTACGTAAGACGTTGTTAAACAAATGACACAATCATCAAGTGAATCCAACTTCCCCCATTGGTTCTACTTGTCAGAAGCTGACTAGGAAGGTCACAAATGGCAATCACATCACCCCAGGATGGTGCCACTGAATAAATGCCAGTTGCCAAGCACCCACATTTTTATCACATGATGTTGGGGATGCTGCAACATCATAAGTGTGATGGCCAGTTGTAAGTCACTTTTTTTAGTGTCATTATAACTTTGAACAGCTAAACAGATGATTCTAAGTCAAGGACTATCTATATTTAGACCAGAATGTGAAAGTTTTAAAGGTCCTAACCAGCGTGCTGAATTGTATCTGGAAAGATGGTGATAATTAGATAATTAATAAAGCTTAACTCTCCAACATCCTAATCATTGCTGAATCCAGCTGAACCTCTAAAATTAAAAGCTAGGTAAAGTTTTAATAATTGTGTAAGTAGGAGGATGGAATTGTTTCATTGGTTCTGTATGCAGCCTTTAACAGATTTACAAATCTCTTTGTGTCTTCAGAGGCAGACGAGACAGTTCAGAAAGAATCAAGCAGTGTTATTGTGATGAAAGAAGAAAGCAGCTTTGCATATGAGAAAGAACCTTTGGAATCTCCTCTGGATTGTATGGCAGAAAGGACAGGATTGGTGTCTGATGCTAACACTAAGGTGGTACCAGCAGATCCCTCAGAAATCCACTCTATACAAGACGCTTCTGTGGTACTATTAGAAGAGATTGATGACTTCTCTGGCAAAATGAATTCCCCAGAAGAAAAAGATGGTAACTGTTTATTAGTCAAGAACAGACATACCAAGGAAAATAGTTTTGTGGTGGCAGAAGAAGCTCAGCCGAATTCTGTATCAAATATAATTAAAAACGATCTTGTAGGGAGAGCTGCAAATTCTGTTACTAATACACAAGAGACCTTGGTTTTTTCTGTCCTGGATTCCATTAATGCAAGCAAAATTTTAACTGTAAACCAAAGCTGTCTGAATACCTATTCAAGGAATTTTAGCAGCCTTAGTGATGACCATTTGACTGAAATTGAAACGAAAAGCAACACTATTCCAAAATCTATGTACGCTGCTGCAGAAGATTCTAGTTCAGACACAGAATCCTTAGCCGAGAATCCCGGAGACAGTTCATCACTCTTACTATCTGTTTGTGATAATCCTTTGGTAACCCATAAACTAGTTGAATCAGATGAGGAGCAAATAGAAATTTGCAGTCTGAATTATGACCAACATTGTATTCAAAACCAGCTGGACACATCTCCCATAAAATCATCTCATCATCCACCAATTTACCATTCTTTGAACAACTGTTTGCAGGCAGAAAGCAAAACAGAAATAGATTCACCGGAAACATCCCATGGAAAATTTACATTAGAAAAATCGCACTTCTCAAAAAACTCCAGTGCAGAACATATGGTTCCATCAACAGCTTTTCAATCTTCTCCAGATGTTTCTCCACAAGGGGTAGACAATTTGGAGCAGGACAGGCCAGTCTGCTCTTCCACTGAGAATGGTTGTTCAAGGAGTAAAGGAGGAAGTAGCCTGCAGAACCAAGAAAATTTAATGGAAATATGTAAACATTCTGTGCCAGAAATACATTCCTGTCCAACAGAAAATATCAGTAGTTGGGAAGACAACATGCTAGGCCAAGATGAACTGGAAAAACCCCAACAGTTGCAGGTAGAAAACGATTTAGTGACGGACTGTGGAAGCAATGTACTTGGTAGTCCTTCTGCTGTGACGGGAAAAGGAACCAGTGCTCCATCCCAGTTAAGAAGAACAGACAGCTATACTATGAAGACTGCAATACAAAAAATAGTCAACAGTCCCAAATCTCCCCTTTTGACCAAACCAAAACATTTGGGCAGAGTCTCTTCTGCTCACAATTTACTAGGAAAGACTGAAAAAGCCAACACTGTTATCTCGAAACTCTCAAGTACCAAAACTTCGAATTCTGCTCAGTGCAAGGGCTTTAGTGTTCCATACAGTCCCTCTTCTTCCCCTAAATTACATCATGAAACTAAAGGCACTCCGCAAAAGAGTACGGTGGAAACTCTTTCAAATAATCAGCAAAACAAAGCAGGGCCTAAAGGAAAGGCTCTTAATATTAAAAATAAATCCAGGGCTCATTCTGATGCTCTTGGCACTGCTCCTGCCAAAGCCGAGGGCGCTGATCAAAAAAAGATAACTCTCCCTGCCCAAAGTTCACCCAGGCTCCTTTCAAAGAAAGGTTCCTCACTCCATAACTTAGCCACCCATCTGGAACCGCCCAGCAGGAGTCTCTCTATGGGTTCTAAGATATTTCAGCAGCAGGAGGAAGATCAGGCCCCTTTACTGGGGGCTCAGACATCCACTCTGCCTGTGTTGAACGGTGAGAGCAGCATTATGAAAAATAAAGATAAATCCATGATCAAATCAAAATTTGGCAGGGCCGGAACATCAGGATCACCTAAAGTGGAAAAAGAAGCACAGGTCACCAAGTGGGAGGTTATGAGCAATGAAAAATGGGGGAGAGCTAGCGCAGATCATTGTCCAACAAGAGACAGCCCTTCTCAGTCAAATTCACCTTCTGAAGCCACATCCAAGGCTTGTGGCCCGAATGATAGAACTGAAAACAGGGGGATGAGTCTGAGTTTGAATCCTGATGGATTGGAAATGAAGCCATTACAGTCTGACAATGCAGGGCTTTTTAAAAAGGAGTCTTCTTGCTTTATTTATCCCCCTGCTCGGCAAGAGCAGCCCAGTCAGGAAATTCAGCGCACTTTCATTGAAGTAAGGTTATCTTCCTCGTCCTCCTCTTCCTCCTCATTAATTCCTGATTTGCCCCTAGAGAAGAAAGAAGATGACAGTAAGACCAGTCAACTCAGAAGCGAAACACTGGATTGTTGGCAGAGCACTTTCCACAAGGAAGATGCTCTCAGAGCGTTAAAACCTGTGACAAGGACCTATTCAGTGCCAGCACAATTATCCAGTCATTTACGGGAAGACAGCAGGGATAGAGATCAACCAGCGCATTGTGTCCAGGAGATCTTAGGTAATGTTTCGAGTGCAAACCCTTCTGACTCAGAGTTGGGCCTGCTGGAAATTGTCCACCTCAGTCTGAGCAATCAGGATGCAAAAGCCACATCTGCCGGCATCCTGAAATCAAACAGCGACGATGGCAGTCCCGTTGCGCAAAAACTGAAAAAAGGCAGAAGGAATTATTATTACTATGAACTCAATTGGCCACATGATCCCGTTTCTTCTTTTTCTGTAAAGCAGAGAATTAAATCGTTTGAGAATCTGGCTAATTTTGATAGGCCTATGGTCAAATCCATAGACCTCCACTCCACCTCCCTCAACTCTAAATTGCCTGTTGGCCAAAGATTGTCTGCCGTTTCAGCGACCAGCGTAAACGATGCGGTCCAGGCCCTGCGACGGAGCTTGAGTTCGTACTGTGGAAGCGAAGTTCCAACTTCTCCAAGGATCACCAGATCTTCAACCAGTTCGACATTAACAAACGTGCCGCAGAATTTTCCCAAGAGCAGCAAAGATGATGGTCAGTTGGAGAAGAGTGGAAGACTTGCTTTGGATGAACCAGGTAGCTTACCACCATCTGCCACCAATGTCCGAAGAAGCAGAGCCTCAGGGGGTCATATTAGACACATGCCCTTGTCTCGTTCCAAACTCCGGGAGCTGAGAGCTCTCAGCATGCCAGATCTTGATAAGCTCTGCAGTGAGGACTTCTCTGTGGAGTCTCAACCTTCACCCATCAAAACTGAGTTGCATCTTCCCACTGTTGTGAGATCCCTTGATGCTCCCATTGAAAATGTTTCCAGGCTGAATGAATGTTCAGGATTATCCAGTCCTGGCATGACAAGCAGGCAACATTCAAAAGAAACCAGTCCTTGGAATAGTGGCTCTGGAACTCCTGGATCAACATCTGATGAGGAAGGGCTACAGTACGATGGCAGTCTGAATAAACTGAACTCGGGGAAAAGCTGGTCTATCAGGTTAGTTTTAATGTTTTCTTAATATTAGCTCTGTACTAGGAGCCGACAAAGATTTAAAACTTGAAAGTACATATTTCATGGGTGGAGGAAAGAGTCAAAAAGATTTGCCCTGGTTTGTGTACTTTGCATTAAAATACACAAATTCTGCATCCAATCTATTTGAGTTTTGCACCAAGAAAAATGGGATGTTGCAATAGTAGGCAAGTCGGCAAAGTTGTATGTTTTCTTTCCATCTGTATAGTTTTGTTCTTAATGTCAAAACTCTGTGAAAGCCAAGGGTTTGATCAAAGCATCAAACGCTCCCCAAGACCTGAGTCAACAAATTCTCAGCTCCAGATATTTTACTAGGAGTGCTCAGGCATTTCAGAGCTCTGAGAATTGCAAACTTAGATACTTAAAAAAAAACTTCAAGTAAAGTTTATTGAAACTGTATCCTCCAACCAGGACCCCATTATATTTTTTTTCACTCTTGCAGAATGAGTTGCCATATAGTCCCTCCTGACTGACCTCCAGTACAGGTAGTCCTCGACTTACAACTGTTCATTTAGCAACCACTCAAAGTTACACAGCACTGGGAAAAGTGACTTACCACTGGTCCTTGCACTTACGACTGTTGCAGGATCGCCATGGTTGCATGATCAAAATTAGGATGCTTGGCAATTGGCATGTGTTTACGACGGTTGCACTGTCCCAGGTCATGTGATCCCCATTTGTGACTTTCTCAGCTGATAAGCAAAGTCAATGGGAGAAGCCAGATTCGCTTAACAGCCACCTGATTCACTTAACAACTGCAACCACTTTCTTAATAACTGTTGCACAAAGGTTATAAAATCAGGCGTGACTTACTTAACAACTGCCTTGCTTAGCAATGGAAATTCTGACCCCAATAATCAGGTCAAGGACTACCTGTCTATTTTCCTCTCCAAAGGCACCTTTACCATTTATGCAATTTTCTCTTCATTTTGCTATCAATTTTCTCCTTTTCTTCCCTTGATTTCCCAGTCTAGTTTCTTGTAAATTAAATTGCAACAGATTCCACCATGGGCCTTACTCCTTTTGCGACTTCCTATTTTAATCGTCTGTTAATTCAGACTTTTCAAGGTTCAAAACCGTATTTTCACCATCATTCCTTTAGATCAGTGGTTCTCAACCTTTTTAATGCCGCGACCCCCCAACCGGTCGTAAGTCGAGGATTACTCAACCAGTCGTAAGTCGAGGACTACTCAACTGGTGCAGCACCGTTTGCAGAATGGGACTTTTGGCGGGCTCAGCAGGGCAGAGACAGCCTGGACAATTCCTATTGGCTTTTGAAAGCCAATAGAACAGTGGTTCTCAACCTTTTTAATGCCGCGACCCCCAACCGGTCGTAAGTCGAGGACTACTCAACTGGTGCAGCACCGTTTGCAGAATGGGACTTTTGGCGGCTCAGCAGGGCAGAGACAGCCTGGACAATTCCTATTGGCTTTTGAAAGCCAATAGAATTAGACTCTATTCAAGAGAGTCTATTCTATTGGCTTTCAAAAGCCAATAGAATAAAAGGGAGTAGCACAGCTAAGGAAAAGGGGGGGAAAATGGCGGACTGCGTTGTTTGGCGACCCCCGTGAAATGGTCGTTCGACCCCAAATGGGGTCCCGACCCACAGGTTGAGAACCACTGATCTAGATACATGGAACAGAAATAGAAGGGACAGAAAGGAGAGGGTGGCTTCAGTTTTCTACCTAATTCCTCAAAGGATTATCTTTTGTTCTTAACTGCATTCTTAGAATTAGCAGCAGAAGGAAAAAAGAGAATCATTTCCAAACCTGTTTGATCAGGAATATTTCAGGAGAGTCCTTGTTTTTGTAAGGAAAGAATATATAAAGGGAGGCAAAGTCTCTTTTAATTTTTTTATTGCTCTTTAATTAATAAGAGAAATAATAGTGATGGTGAAAAATGCATTGCCAAAGAGAAGAAAACGAACACATGAAAAGATTAATTGTATAAATGTACTAGAAATAGCTACATACTTGAATAATATTTGCATTAGAAAAGTATATAGAGAATTTAAATGTTGTTATAATGACATATATTTTCTTTTATCGTTGTTGCATTTCTTTCATTAAAGTGTTAAAGCACTTTTTATGTGTTCTTTGTTTTCCCTTTTCCTTGACAATGTATCACCATGAAGAGAATCAAAGTCTTAATATCTGCACTAGAATTTCAGTGCCTTTTTCTTTATGGATCAGATTTGGTTGGGTATTACAAATTATATTTCCTGGTCCTTTTCACATTTATAAATAGGCAGTGGAGATATTATGTGCTAATATTAAACCAGGCAGTCTTCTTTCTTCAGTCTCATCCAATGTCAATTTTGCATATGTTGTATTTTAGCTTGGATGAATTGTTGGTTTCCTCTCTGGATCAGCAGAAATTGCAGTCTGTTTTATCTTCGGTGACAACAAAAAACGATGTTTCTTCTTTGCTTCAGGAAATCAAAGCACAAGCAGAGGTAAGCCTAGATGTACAGCTACACACGTGGGTATATATATGTGGGTGTGTGAGTGTGTATACATCTCCGCCGCCCCCCCAATCCCTTGAAAAGCTGCTGGAAAGCAGCCTGCTAACACCTTTGGTTCTGCTTAGCCTCACAACAAAGAGAAGATGCTAAGTACACAATGGGTCCGTTATATGTTCCTCAACTTTCCCTTCATCTCATCAAGAGGAGATTGTAATTCAATCAGTGGCTTGTCCCAAGCTATCATCCATCGTATAGTAACAGAAATACTTTCTTCCATTGACACAAATCTAAAATAAAATTCTCTTCCGCGCATCCATGTTTTCAATAGATATATTTCTCTGTGTTTTATAATTAAAAAAAAAAATTCAGAAGGGTTGCTGTGTTTGGGAAGCTATGTTTGTGTGTGTGTGTGTGTGTGTGTGTGTGTGTGTGTGTGTATATATATATATATATATATATATATATATATATATATATATATATATTCACAGTTAAGAAAATTAAAAACATGAATATATAAAACCACAACAAAAGCATTGATATCTCTCAGAGGCTTTGCAGTCCTTTTTCTACAATCCCATTATTGCATTTAAATCCCCTTGTGAGCTGTGAAGATGAAAACAGTTTTGAAACTAGTAGCAATGATCTTGTTTAAATGCTGTTATGACGAGTGGATTGGGAGAAGATGAATATGAAACCATTTATAGAGAAAGAGACAAGGCCACAAAATTACTGTATGGTAAGTGAGGTTGGACAGTCCTGGGAAGGTATGAAGCCAGGAATCTGGAAGTGGGTGAGAAGGAATTGCCACCAAGGGGAAGATGAAGCTGCTCAGGAGGGCTGCAGAGCTGCAGTTATCCTAAGAAAAACAATTTCACTGAGATTCTCAGCAAATCAGAATGAAGTCAGACATCAATTGATTCTGATCCCCAAATTAGACTTGCACAAAACCTTTGGTGTGGAACCGCCGCAGTTACCAATCTACCTTTAAATGCTTATAAATGTATGTGCATGTTTGCAAAAGTTCCACTACCTTCTCTGTTGGTATCAATGTTATGATTATTATCCTTTGTTATTATGATTATCATTTACAGGTAGTCCTTGACTCACGACCACGATTGAAGCCCCTGTTGCTAAGTGAGACATTTGTTAAATGAGTTTTGCCTCATTTTACCACCTTTCTTGCCACAGTTGCTAAGTGAATCACTGCAGTTGTTAAGTTAGTAACATGGTTGTTAAGTGAATCTGGCTTCCCCATTGACTTGGCTTGTCCAATGGTCGCAAAAGGGGATCACATGAATCTGGGACATGGCAACCATCACAAATATGAGTCAGATGTTAAGTGTCTAAATTTTGATCACGTGACCATTGGGATGCTGGAACAGTCATAAGTGTGAAAGATGGTCATGTCACTTTTTTTTTTTTTAGTGCCGTTGTAATTTTGAACCCTCACTAAATGAACTGTTGTAAGTTGAGGACTACTTTGCTGTTTTGCACATAGACTAAGAATTTCTGCACTGGAGACATCACACTTGGCCAATAAAGAATTTCTATGCAATTCTATTTGCAAGAGGGATACAAAAGAATGATGCCAGGATGGTAGTAAATCTTGAAAGGAGTTTATTAAGAAATTTCCCCTAAACAAACTTACAGCATCAGCATCTGAGCTGAAACAGGGAGGAAGGCTTCTTAAACACAAGGAAGGTGGAGAAAAGGAGTAAATCTTATAGCTCTTTTTTCTCCACTCTCCCGCCATTTGGAGTCCTCACCTTGGCTCTGAGATCACTAACAAGGGGAAATTCATATTTGTATTTACACTCGTTGGAGAGGAAGAGATTATAAGACAAGTAAGTAGACACACAATGGGGAATACACATGGAATGCCTTAGCCCAGGCTCTTTGCTTATTGTGCTGGAACTGGAAGCCACTTAAGCAAAGGAAAGCCTTTAGGGTGAAACTGATTAGGGTCTTGCCAGTTTCAGGCAGCAGTGCAAGCCAGCTGAGGGTGCTAATTAACTAAGGTCACAGAGCTGGGCTTGTTAACCAGCAGTTAGCACTTCTTTGGAAAGTATTTTGTCAGCAGGTTCAGAAAAGATAGCTAGTTTCAGTAATCTCTCCTCTCTGCATGGGAGGAAATTGTGCAAAGGGGAGAAAGGAAAAAGGAAATACAAAAATATTTTAAAAATATAAATTGTGGAAACAACCAAAGTGCTGTCTGCCAAAACTGGACTTAACACCCACTGAGTTTGTATCATTGTGCAAATTCAGTGAATCTGAGAATTCAGAGGTTGCAATTAGGCCATCAGAAACAATCCCTTCCTGAAAGTAAGAATCTGTTGGATGTCTTCATTTGATGATATCCAACAAAGGAGAATCCACTACTCTTTTCATAACTGGTTTTCCTATCAAACTGTTCTTAACTTTTAAGAAGTTTTTATCCGGCCTTCTATAACCATCTGTATTCTTGTAACATTAGTCCATTGCTCTGTGTTCTGCACATCTGGAACAAGAGACAGCAGGCTTTGTGTGATATTTTAAAAAGTTTTTCTGAAATAGTATTTCTCCACAGTCTTTTTTTTTTTTTGTCACAGCTAACCATGTCCAGTTCCTTCAGTCTCTCTTCAGAGGGCAGTGGTGGCGAACCTATGGCACGCGTGTCAGAGGCAGCACTCAGAGCCCTCTCGGTGGGCACGCGCATCATGCTCCGGAGATGGCAACCATCCCTCTTCAACTAGCCACCCGCTAACTTGCCGGTCCCACATGGCTGGATGCATCCCAGCACAGCTGGTTTCCCTCCCCCCCGTCCCATCCCTCCTGGCCTCGCATGCTCTCCTTTTCCTGGACATGACCCACTGCATTGCCTCCTCAGCTATCGGCCGGCTGTCCAGCTGAGAGGCAGCTTCTCTGAACTGCTGGTGGTGGGCTGCAGAGCCCCAGAGTGCACCAGTCGAGGAGCCGGCAGGCTGTGGCTGCTGACAGACACTGTCGGCCCCCATGCGCTCGCTGGCTTCTGTGTGCCGGGGCCGATGGTATCAGGCAGCAGCTGCCCCGGCCCCTGCCTCGCCTTGCCCTGCGACAATGGCACCCCCGCCCTGCCTCGCCTCACCCTGCAGGACGAGCCTCCTGCCCACTGCCCCACCTGCCAGAGACCCCTTGGATCTCCCCCAACCCTGCCCGGCCCCCACAGGCATTTCTCCCCACGAGCAACATCGAGGTGACCACGCCCACCTTGGACACACCCACCCAGTCTGCTGTGACCACTGCAGCCATGCCCACCCAATGGGCCACGCCCACCCGGCGATACATAAGTGGGTTTTGGGTTGCAGTTTGGGCACTCAGTCTCTAAAAGGTTCGCCATCACTGTCATAGGGTAATAAAATGCTTATGCTGTTTGATGACTTTTCTGCAGAGTACAGTTTGAGGGTTCATATATGAATAATTCTTTGAGCAGGAGACTTCCCACAATTCCTTGGTTTTATTCCAGTATCTGGTTAAAGCAAGTTTGATTGACTCAGGTGAGCTTGGCACATCTTGCCAAAATACCAAGACTGGATTATGTTCTCAGTCAAGAATAATCCAGAGTCATTTTAGGTATTTTGACATGGGTCTCGAGAAAAATTGTTTATTCATGCCAGTTTGTAAAAGTCCAAGAACTCAAATATTTATGAAACTCAATGCTTTTTGGAAAATGGGCCATGTCTGCATATTTCCTCACATCTGCTATTAAGTCCAAAGTGGCACGGGAGCTGGAAAATATTATGCAATTCAGAACTTGTGCTTTAAGTGCAGAGCAAGATGATTCTCAGAAGTTTTCTAATTTTTCATCATCTTGTCTTTCTTCTGAGGAAACGTAGGCCAATAAATCTTTATTTGTTGTCTTGGTTTCGTGCTTGGCTCATTCTCTGCTATTAAAAAATAAAAAATGGAACTTTTTGTTTGGGATCTATCAAAATCTGTATATAGAGAGAATAGAAAGGCCATAAGGTATCTAGTTTTTAATGGGGAACTGACCAATTATCAAATCAAGGTTCATTGGCACCATTTTTTTTTCTCCCTCAAAATTCTGTATTTCTGTCCCACTGAAATTTACTAATAAGTTTCCAACAGTTTTTATTTGTATAATTTATTTATCTGTCTACCATCTCAATTTTCACGGATTCTGAGTTGTTTTTGAGTATTAAATAGCAATATTTTGAACAAGAAACAAACTAAAGAAATTACATGAGCCATCAGAGTATCTTAACACATTTTTTAAAAAAATGTTTAGTGAAACACCAAAATACAAGCTATCCACCTGAAAAGAAAAATGCATGGCTTCTGGACAACAAAAATTTGCCTACTTCATATTTAGCAGATTCTGCCACATTTCTGGCAATTAGGATTCAAATTAAACACTATCTGGTCTGGCTGAACTGCTTCTGTAATAGAAGTCTTTGTATTGAACTATGTCAGTGTTTCCCAAACTTGACAATTTTAAGGCATGTGGACTTCAACTCCCAGAATTCCACAGCTAGCGTTGCTGGCTGTGGAATTCTGGGAGTTGAAGTCCTCATGCCTTAAAATTGTCAAGTTTGGGAAACACTGAACTATGTCAAAGCTAGTACCTGAATTTTAGTATTTTTATACCCCCCGCTTCCTCCCCATGTCAACACAAGTGTTCCAGATTGGACTTAATGTAACAAAGAACAATAAAAAAAACAACAACAAAGGTGTTGCTTTGTCAAGTCACGACATCCAGTTTTCATTGTTCCTGTCCCCTGTTTGCATTCTTCTGTATCACAGGTTTGGGAGTGCACTAGTGTTTGCACTGCACGCCAGCAGAAATGTTTTCCGGGAAAGTGAAACTGCTTTTGAATAATAGCCTGCTCTTCTATACAACAGTACTGAAAATAGTCAAATATTGACCTAAAATTAAAAACTAGGACAGGGGTAGGCAACCTTGGCTCTTTTATAACTCATAGACTTCAACTCCCAGAATTCCTGAGCCAGCCGTGTAGAGGGAAAGGGAAAGGTTTCCAAGCTGAGCCATGCTGGCTCAGGAATTCTGGGAGTTGAAGTCCACGAGTCATAAAAGAGCCAAGGCTGCCTACCCCTGGACTAGGAGAAGATGTAGGTCTTTACCTAAAGTTAGAAACAGGTGAATTTCCATGGACAGAGGTTTCCATAAATTGGGTACTTTTCGGCGAAAAGACCCTAGTCTCCACTTATTCACCTTGCCTTTCATAAACCTGGAAAAGGTCCTCTGTTGATTGTTTCATAGCACCAATGGTTAGCGGAGACAGGAATGCCTTCAAACAGTTTGATTTCTTCTGTGAGGTGCTTTAAATTGCTTAGAGATGAGGTAGCTCAATTCATAATGAAGGGGGGTTCCCATCATCACGTCCCAATCCAAGACTTTCAGTTTTATGCACAGGGTGAGCCCGAACAACGTGAGGCACCTCCACAATTCAAAACGAATGGCTGGACACATGTTTTGCTCATGAGCTTTATGTAATCCACATGTGCCTGTCAGTCCATTTCTGCTTTTCTGCTTGGTGAGCTTAGAGGTTGGGCTACGTGTGCAGATGACACTTTTCCTTTTACTACTAACTTGATGGATGGATGTGCCTGGGCACTAAAAATTAATTCCAGACTTGAACTCTGGAAGGGGCAGTTTAAACTAAGCTGTCGTTTCCTTGGGTCCTTGTACTATTTTGGTGACATTAAATAAACACAACTGTCTTCTTTAGGCTTTCCAAGTTAAAAACTTTTAATTTCTGAAATTGTAGCTATTTTAAGCAAAAAGTTAGATTCATCTTGCAGGCATTTTGTGTTAATTGTGGGGTGTATTCTTTCAACGGTTTTAATCTTTGGATATTTTGTCTTGTCTCCTTTCTCCCTCCCCCTCCCTTCCCTTCCTCTCCCTCCTTTTGGGGGGGGGATCAGAGCAAGGAAGATATTTATTTTGTAGTCTTGAATAAAGAGGAAGGTTCTGGCCTGGGATTTAGCGTCGCTGGAGGAATAGACCTGGAACAAAAATCAATCATCGTAAGTGGCGACTGCATCTTTCTTCTAAGTGGGTTGCAAAGCCAGCTGGAAATTAGATCGAGAACTCATTTATCAAGTCATGAGTTAGCTGTACAATCCTATTGTGAAAGTTTGCTTGCTTCATTTTGTATCCCATCTGTTGATGCTATCAGAGAGGCAAGTGGGCTTGCATGCCAGATAAACTCTGATGCACACAAGTTTGCCAAGATAAGTATCCGTGATAGGCTCACACATATCTTAGCGACTGGAAATCCTGACATTAGCTCCATCCGAGCCCTATAATACATATGCTTTGTATTCCAGGATTCCCAAACCCAGTCTTTCTACTGGGACCTGAAAAAACTTTTTAAAAGAGCTGTAGGAAACACATTAGTTAAACATTTGTGGCTTATATGAACTGCAACTACTCACCTACAGCAATGTTTTAGGATCATTGGATTTTTGGCAATATCAAATGGAATCTTACTTATACAATCCAAATTTATTTATTGAATTCGCTTCGTTTCTCTATACACTTAGATGATTTTATGTTTGCTCAGCTACAGTCTTTAGGCCCAACTTAGTTTGGGGTGAATCTGAATTCATTTTGTCTTTATTTATAGTCCACTTAGGAGTTTCAGTGCAACTTGCCTATGATTTCTGTGTGTTTTTCCTGAGTGATTCCCTGCCTTTTACAGAAACAAATTCTTCAGTGGTAGAGATGAATACCTTGAGATACCTTGAGACTGAAGGCAAAGCCTTTCTCAAGTTAAGTTCAGTGGTTTGCCATTGTCTCCTTTCTGGTGTTTTACAACTTCTCCATCAGCCCTGGGACTTTCAGGTGTTTCCCATCCAAATACTAAACCAGTCCAACCCGGCTTAGCTTCTCAAAGTCAGGCAAGGTCAGCTAAATGCTGCCACCTGCTGGGACACTAAAACTAGGACTGTGTCAAAGGGGGATTTGGCTTTAATGAAGCATTGGGTGAAATTTTTTGAAGCTGTGAGTGAAGTGAAACTGCTATGTTACTTTGCTTATTATTTGGAGATTTCTTCTGGTATTTGCCTTTGCTAGAAGTATATGGAGAATTCTGCAAACCAGCCTGGGGGCAAATTGCATAATTTCTGCTCTTGGACAAGGCAAAGAGCATTATTTTTGTGGAGCAAAGGATCTTGTTAACCCAAAGTGCACCCCCTTGCCTAGGCCGCTCAAAATCATCTTCCAAAAAGTATGTATATGTCTTGGAAATTTGGCTCAAAATATTACAAGAAGCATCTGTTTTAAACATTAGAAGCGTTTGTTTCTGAGTTTGGCTGACATTCCTACACAGGGCTATATTATCTTTCCATCAACTTCCACAGAGACTTGGCTCACATGATCAGATTCAACTACATTGTGTAGCATGGGTTGGTCTGTTTCATTGGTACCTATCATTGGTACCTTTTGGGCAAGAGAACACATTCCTTTACTCTCTGTATTATGCCTGGCTTGGAAACTTCTCCAAGGACAGAACACTAGCCTAGACTGGCCTTTAGGTAGCTCCAGTTATTTAGTCCATTCCTTCCTAACCTTCATAGAGGACGCAATGGCTCAGAGGTTAAAGACTCTGAGCTTATCAGATGGAAAGCTGACAGCCTGGGTTCGAGACCTGAGCACCACACAAAAGGGTGAGCCCCTGTTCCTTACCCCAGCTCCTGCTCACCTAGCAGTTCGAAAATACGCAAATGTGAGTAGATTAATAGGTACCACTTTGGTGGGAAGGTAACAGCATTCCATGCATGTTTGGCATATAACCATGCTGGCCACATGACCACGGAAAATGTCTTCGGACAACGCTGGTCCCCTTGGCCAAGAAACAGAGATGAGCACCATGCCCTAGAGTTGAACACGACTAGACGTGGGAAACTTTTACTTTTACCTTTTCTTAGCCTTCTGAAATACATCATGGTTGGGTTCCAAAATCTATGTATCAGGGAAGTATTTCCTAATAAATTGAGCTGCCAATTTACATATACAGTAGATTGATTGGCCTTCATTTTTAATCAGCTGATAATTCAACATGCCTTCGTATCTTGAACAGTTGCTTTGCTCTGGGTTGTGTGTTTTATGTTTCATAGTAATTGACAAATAAAATGCTACAGCTGGTATTCTTAATAACGAGCCAGATTCTGTGAATTTGGATATTGTCTCACATGTTTTCCAACAGTCCAAAAGGCACCATTACTGAACTTCTGTTCATGTGAAGATTTATAGAAACCAGGAGACCAGGAGTTCTAGTCTCACCTTGGGCACAAAGCCAGCTGAGTAACTTTGGGCCAGTCACTGTCTCTCAGCCCTAAGAAGCAGATAATGGCAAACTACTTCTGAAATCTTGCTAAGAACACTGCAGGGTCTTGTCCAAGCAGTTGCCAAGAGTAAAGACTGACTCGAAGGCACACACAAATCAGTTAGTTAAACTGGGAAAAAGGAGAATCTTTTAAATCTGCTAACAGTTCTTTGATCCACTGACAATCTTCATCGTAATGTGTCTTCTTGAAGGTCCATCGGGTGTTTTCCAAAGGGGTGGCTTCCCAGGAAGGGAAAATTCACCGTGGTGACCTAATTCTTTCTATCAATGGCACTTGTTTGGCGGGTTCTGTCCATGGGGATGTCCTCAATGCGCTCCATCAGGCCAGGCTCCATAAATATGCCATCGTGGTCATCAAAAAGGAGAAAGACAGAGGAAGGAGGCCTCCTCAGAGCAATGAGATGCCTACTTCTGATAGGCCAACTTTGGTGGATGCAGCCACGGGAAGTGAAGCAGGTACTGTACAATACAGATTCGGCAGTGTTTGAAATGAATTCATCCACCCTTCTACTCTCTCAAGAAATCGTAGTGGTGGCGGGGAGAGCTGCCCCCATAAGATTCATACTCTAATTATAAATTTTGGGATGGAGTAAGTGAAAATATGAAAATACATTCAACTGTCAATTGGACTCCTTTAGTATCCAAATAATCATTTGAAAAATAGGAAGATGCTTAGATATCTCAGGCCAAAACAGAACTGAACTGCTAGATTTTCACGCAGAACAGTTGGAAATCTGACAGTGGCTCTTGACTTTTGGTTTACAGATCAGATAATAAATATGAACATTTTATTTCCAGAGACGTTTAGATTTATAGGCATTTGTATAATCCAAGTTCAAGTATTCTAACAGCATCACTGAAGCCCTGCTCCCACAGCTAAAAAGAGAAGTCTCAGATGGTCCGCTTTCCATTTCAAACAATATAAATAACATGAGGAAGGAAAGATTGCAAAATATGATTTATAATTTCCAAAGATTTGGAGAACTAGACATGTCTCTGATGTATTGTCAAAGCCTATTTTGTGCTCTCTGTGGTATGACCTCTTATAGGTGATTAACCTATATTTGGTCATTAGAGCAAGTTTTCTGAATTTTTTTCTCTCCAAAGGTCCAAGTGGGGAACTGAATGGGGCCCTTTGTGTTGAACTTTTGAAGACTTCTGCTGGCTTGGGTTTCAGCCTGGATGGTGGGAAAGCTTCAGTATCTGGAGACAGACCTTTGTTCATCAAAAGAATTTTTAAAGGTAACTTGGACAATTTTCTGAAAATCCTGTTTTTTTTCCTCTGTTAAAGACAGTCTGAAATCTCACTGCCCTCTTTACAAGTCTGAATGGGCTTTATTTATTTGCAGAAATAAAAAGGAGACCCATCTCCTCTGAAGAAAATATTTATGTCAGCATTAACAAAATGACGCAGCCCAGTACCAATGTTTGGAGATTCTCAGTCATCCAGGTCATAGTTCTCCCGAAGATGCTTTTTCACAAGGCAACTGGATTTTCTAGCCCAGTATCACTTTGTGATATTTGTACTGTTCAAAATTCCAGCCTGCTAGACCTCACCCAACAGACCAGCCAATCCCTAATCTGCTTTCTCTATGCTATTATTGTCACCCTGTTTATCAGAAATGCTCGATGCATCTTTCAAAGAAAATAAGCTATAGAGGTTTTGTACATGAACTGTAATGTACTGTATTTTAACACTAGAAATAGTGTTTCTTTATTTTTTCAGTCTTTCTACCAATCTGCACTTTGATATTTCTGCCAACAGGTGGTGCTGCTGAACAAGCTGGAAAACTGGAAGCGGGTGATGAAATTCTTGCAATTGGAGGAAAATCCCTGCTTGGACTCATGCACTATGATGCGTGGAACATCATTAAATCTGTCCCAGAGGGGCCCATTCACCTGCTGATCAGGAAGCATCGGCCGCCAGAATGACGGATCCCGATCTCTGAGTTCCACTTACCTTTTGAGCACAACCTTACCAGTTTTGTTTGCCAGGAGCTGGAATGGTGGCATCTGGGATGTTATTCTACTAGGTCAGAATGGTTTAATCAGTCGAGAAGCATCAAGATACATATGCAAGACTGGTATCAAGAGTCAATATGGTCAGGCAGCTACCCCATGTTTAGACCTCATTGGAGGGCCTCTGGGCACAGTTTGGTTCTCTTAATTGCAATCAACTTGTTCACTGAGAAGATAAATAAACAAGAACTTAGCAACTCATCAAAGCGGCTATTGTCTGCACTGACTCTCTGGAAAGGAGGTGCAGCAGTTCATAAAAAATGAGATATCTTCAATAAATCCCCTAAACTTTGGAGCTGACCTAAGCAAGGAATTGATTTAATGTGTTCTTGTTTTACAGATGGTGTCTTTCTTTCCATGCTTATGGAAGGTGCCATAATTTCCCAACAGATTACTTTCTTCTTACTGAATTCTTACTCAATCTTTGCCACTGACACCCAGAAGCAATGCTTTGGGTTTATGGTCTGCCCTCCCTCCCTCCCTCCCTCCCTCCCTCCCTCCCCCCCCTCTCTCTCCAGTACACCCATGGACTGGGGGGAAGGAACATAAGATATGAGAAGACTACAAAGGAGTGGGTGCAAAGTGCACCTGCCACGTAGCCTGAATAGCTGATACCAACTATACAAATCTAGAGCAATAAGGGGGGGGGAGAGAGAATCCCTGCATTTTATAAATTAAATCAATGGCTGTTGGTGTCTTTTGCTTTTAATGCCAAAGATGGCACAATGAAGTGTTTTGCATTGGTTCTATGGAAAGTTCGGTAGTATACAGGGGGCAAAAGAGAGAGAGATTGCATTTGGTTTCTTATTATTATAATGAAGAGTTTTGGTATCTTCTTTTCCATCACTTCGGGTTATTGTTCCCAGCATTTGTAGCTCACTGAAGGTGAAGCTCTCGGATTTAGTTCTGGGCATCTCCAACTCAACCGTCTTGAATATCAGAACATGCAGAGCTGGAAAAGGATTTTGCCAAAGATCTGGAAGAGCTGTTGCCCACTAGAACAGCACATGCTCAGCTTAGAAGGACCAGTGGCCTGATTTGGTGAAAGACTGCTTCATATATTGATCTGGAAGCCACCGGCCCCGCAAAGGACACCTCAGGTTTAGCCATGAACTCATTTTCATGGTCCTTCTTAAACTCTTATCACAAAGAGAAGTATTTGCCGTAAATTTTGTAAACTGATAACTATTTATTGGGAAACGTACTATGTATTAGGAAACCTGAGTGTCTTTTAAAACGTCTGAATGATTTGAATGTGTCTGTCTGAAATTTTTACATTTTGTAAATCAAACTGAGTGATGAAATTGTCCAATATGGATGACTACAAGGGTTTTCTAGATATACCAGGTAGTTTTGACTTCAGCTGCTTTTGTGGGTCCAGCATGCTTTTAGTTTTAAAAAAATGAGAAGGTCTGGGGAAAAAATATGTGTTTTCTATTGTAGAGGTAAGAATTTTTTCAAGGACCTGGGGAGCGCTAATGAAAATGTCTCAGCTGTCAATATTAAATCACCAAACCTGGATGTGACACTATATGTAGATTGAAGAATAGATACAGGGAGAAAATATAATAATGGTTGTTTTTCTAGGACAGTTTAGTAGGGATATAATGTTCAGTGTTTATCATCTAAAATCACAGTTATTGGCCTCTAGAATTTAAATTGGAAGAATTTTAGAAAAATAGAACTTACATCTTCCTAATGCCAAGGAAGATACACTTTATTAAAATAAGGCAGTAAACCAAGATCACATTTTTACAGAAAGGCATTCTTGATTTGCCTAAAATTGCATTCAATACTTTTGAGATAAAATGGAAGAAACCATTGATAAAGACAGTTTCAGTTGTGAAAGTAAAGATTATTTTAGTTGTGCTCTATTCCTGATTACTACTTGCATGTATCCTTTGTTTTTTGTTTTGTTTTGCAATGGTATGAAATCATTTGCTGTTACCCACTTCATTTTTACTTCCTAAGGGTTTTTTTTAGCTTCTTGACTTTTCATTCTAGTCTACAGCTTGTAGTTCCAGTGTTCCTCATCACCAGGTCTGATCTGCGTAGCTTTTTGAAGAACTCTCAGGTGCTGCCACCTCCTGTGACTTTCAAAACAAAGAGAAAACAAATTACAAGTCCGGGCCTGAAAGTGTGGGTTTTCTGAATTTCAATTCTATATGGCCATAACTTCCAATTCTATTCTAAAATGTTGGTTTTAGCAGGTTTTTTGTGCCTCTGTGGTAGCAGTTTCTTAAATAGACGGTTAAAGAGTCTGTGTGATTGCACGTGTTCCCTCTAGATTGTGGAAAATGTGTATGTAGTTCACAATCTCAAAATGAACAAAAATTACTTTTATTTACACACTTCATCACAGTATCACATGCACTAATTCTGAATACTTCTACACATAGTCAAAGCACATGCCTGACAAATCATTTTAGTGGGGAAATTATTTTAAGCAGAGAGCTAAATGAAAGGGAGGTTGGGGAGAGGCAGGTATCAGCACAAAGCGGTATGATAATCCTAAAATAAATTGGAGGGGGGATTAGTTTTCAAGGAAATGACAAATATTGGAAATTAATTAAATATATATATATATTGTTCCTGTTGCCTTAAATTCCTATGTCACTATCAAACCCTCAATTCCAGATTTTAAACACCAAATGAGATTTATATTTATGACAAAACCATTTACACCAAGCCATATCACCCTTGTGGTGAGTGGATTTATTTTGTATATTTATTTGAAGCCACATATTCACAGGGTGGGGCTAAAAACAATCAAAGTGGCAGCTGCAACCAATGTGATTCAAGCCCTAACCTCATTTTTAGGTGCATCAGGATGTATCTAAAAAGAGGCGGGGCTTTGCACAAGCACAATCTCTTCCATGATTTTGGGGGAAACCTCTACAGACGACCCCAATCCATATGGGCATTTACAAGAAGTGCTTTCAGGAAAAAAAATGCATTTAATGGAGATTTATTGCAAATTGATTGCAATCCACTTTACCACTTTACCCTTGCTGGTAACAACATTCAGCGTTTGATCTAGTTAGCCCCTAACTCAAGTCATATCTTTTCCAGGACCTTGGACAGCTCACCATCATGCTAGGTCTATCAAAATCATCATTACAACCCGTTAGCACAATTTTATTCCACGGCCCTATTCACTTTCTGCAGGAAGGACTTAGTATAACACAAGCCACTTAATGGGATTGGCAAGGCAAGGCATTATACCATCAGTCCCTTCCTTCTTGGTTAGGCAGGCAACAGAAGGTGGAGCTTGGGGCCCTGCAACCAATCAATGGTTGAGAGGTGTGTCCTGCAAAGGAGAAGTTTGTTGTTTCAGAATCTCTGGGTTCAGTTTGTTTTTTCTCAGAGTTTGCAATCTGAGGCTGAAGGGAGCTTAACCAACCATCTTTGCCTCCACATTAATGTTTGCATAAAAGACCATTTCTGTAAAATATTTCAGCCTCCTTCCCCAACAGTCGTAATTTGCAATGGTCACAAAGTAGATTGGTCACATGACTGATTTGATTTTATGACTTGTTTTACAGCAGTCATTAAGCGAATACCGTAGTAATAAAGTGACCACCATGGTCATTAAGCTAACCCAAAGCTTCCTAGGGGCCAGTTTTGCCAAAACCCAGAAGTCAATGCTGATTTCCAAAAAAACCATCATCAAATACATTCATGTGACCTCTGGACACCACAAATGGCTGTAAATGTACCCCAGTTGCCGGGTGCTTGAAGTGTGGTCATATGACCGAGGAGGGGTCTGACCATCAGAACTTCGCATTCAGATAATAAGTACCTTCCTCAGGTAAGTCCATCTGAACTTCAAACAGTTGCTAGGCAACCGGTTGTAAGTTAAGGACTACCTGTATCTTTATACAGAAATGAATCGCCATCTGTAAATCTTCCTCAGCTTGCTCTTTCCATTTTCTTTTTCCTGTTAAGAGTGAGTTACCCAAAATTAGTGCCATGCAGAAGCATAGGAACTACAAATACCAAAATTCTGTAGCCAATATGGCCAAAGGGATTCTGGTAGTATGTAATGCTGATATAACATTAAATTAGTAGGCAGCAAAATTGAAATCTAAGCACTGGCTGATACATTGCCTACCATTGCACGGTTGGCATGCTGGTATTTCCTTCCAGAATTGCTAGGATAAAGGCATCTTTAAATTAAGATGTTTTGTCTGCAACTTCGCCATCAGTCACTTAATCTATACATGAAAAGTGAACTTAATGTATTATAATTTTATAAATATTAATTTGGAATCATGACCAGGGTATTCAGAATGTATTCAGACTGTGTAAGTCCATCTGTTCTCCAGACACACAAGTTAATTATGTGAAAAAATGAATATCGTTTAAAATGTATGATTAATTTTATTTTTATGCTGTCTTTTACCTTGCTCTAGACATCAATTATCTATCCCTGTTACTGATGAGCTGTCAGCTTGATAATAATAATTTTGAATTAGTGGATCTGAAATTAGCATATCGCAGAAACTGGGTGGAATATATATTTGTCGTGTCATTGAAAGTGGCACCTTGTAAGGAACAAATTGAGCAAGGGAGTTGTACAGTAACACAATGGAAAGATGGGAGAACTCAAAATCACACCATAGTTGAGGAGACAGTAAACATCTCATGGGTTATAGAGAGCAAACTAGGTGCTTAGCAGATTAATTTCTACCTTTGGAACGTTTATGTGATTCCCAATGGATGATCTCAGAGTTAGCCACCCAGACATAAATTTACTACCCCCTCTTACCCAGGTGTGTGTCAAAAAAGTCAAAATGGCCTCCCAAGCACACAATTAAAATACCTGATTCGTGTAAAAAAAGGGGCAGGGCTTGGTGTGATTACAGCTGCCATCTTTACTTTTTTGACTTCTCCTGGCAACACCACTGCCTCTTGTATGAAACAGGCCACAATTCTGTGTGAGTGTTTTTTTTTTAACTGCAACACATTACTTCCAGTACGATGTTGTATATTAACACAATCGTTTTTATAAATATGTCCTTTGTGTTCAGGTTATTTTTAAATGCCTTGTTGTAAAAAGATAAGTGCAATAATGGACGTAGACTGTGTACCTTTCCAAATGTGCTTTACTCCAATTGTCTGAATGAGCATCTCTTTAAAAAAAAACAGTTTCACCACAATTTTTTTAGTGACTTCTAAAAATAAATAATAATGTTACTTTACTGGGTTACTGTTTGTGTTGAAATGCAGGAATCTTGAACCTAATTTTTATTTTCCAACATGTGACTCATCTTACGATGTTCACACATTGTGCTAAACTTTAATTTGCTCAGTCATGGTTTGTTTAAATCATAGTGGCTTAGGTTTGGAAAATATGCTAACTTATCAAGCATGGGCTATAGCAGGGATCCCCAATTTATGGACTGCGGGTGAGCGTGTGCACGTGTGCTGCATTTGCACGCGTGGCAGGCACGCACATGCTGCTCGTGCAAATGGAGCTGTGCGCTTGTGCACACGGTTGCCAGCCGTTCACGCAGAACCATCCCCTTTCCCTGTCCCCTGCCCATTCTCAAGGCCGGGAAGGTTGGGGAACTCTGGGCTATAGGATATCATGGCTTGGATTCAAACAATATTCAAGGTATAGCCACTGAAACACAGTATTTTACCTGGAAATTAACTCTCCCTCCACCCCACCTCTGATATTTCTACTATCTTAGTGGAGCTTTTAGAAGACCTGAGGTTATTCTTGCAAAGCAGTAAATTGTATTTGCTTTGAAACATGTTAGCTCCCAATTTGTTTACCTCTTATTAAAACTTTTTTTGTTTTTTTAAAAAAAGTCAGTCGATATAATAATCTAGATAAGGGGTAGGCAACCTTGGCTCTTTTATGACTCGTGGACTTCAGCTCCCAGAATTCCTGAGCCAGCCATGCTGAAGGGAAAGGGAGAGGTTTCCAAGCTGAGCCATGGTGGTTCAGGAATTCTGGGAGCTGAAGTCCACGAGTCATAAAAGAGCCAAGGTTGCCTACCCTTGATCTAGGGAATAGCAAACAAGGATTGAGGACCTTCTATACACATTCAATATTCTCAATTTGTTTTAAGAAAGTAGGAGACTGAATTTTAATCCCACCTTAGGCAACAAATCAGGCTTGGTGACTTTGGGTCAGTCAGTCATCCCAACTCACCTCACAGGGTTGTTGTTGTAGGGAAAATAAGAGGAGGAAGGTGTATTAGGTATGTTCACCAACTTGAGTTGTATATGAAAAAAAGGGATTAAAAAAAATGGAGAGCCAGTCTGGTGTAAAGGTTAAGGCATCAGGCTAGAAACTGGGAGATGGTGAGTTCTAGTCCTAATCTTAGGCATGAAACTAGCTGGGTGATCTTGGGCCAGTCACTCACTCTCAGCCCTAGGAAGGGGACAATGGCAAAACATTCTGGGGGGAAAAACCTGCCAAGAGAACTACAAGGACTTGTCCAGGTGGTGTCTGAATATTAGACGCAATTGAACAGAAGAAAAAGATTGTCAATGGAGATTATCAAGTCATCCAGGTCATGGTTGTCCCAAAGGTGTTTTTACAAAAGGCAACTGGACTTTGTTTTTCCTTGACGATGTTTTTCTTCTCATCCAAAAAGCTTCTTCAGTTCTGACTGAAGCTTCTGCAAGTCAGAACTGAAGAAGCTTCTTGGATGAGAAGCGAAACGTCTTCAAGGAAAAACAAAGGAAGTCCAATTGCTTCTTGAAAAATCACCTTTGGGAGAATAAAAGGAAACGGTTTACCCACTAGGTGGCAGTAGATACAGCAACATATAGGTACAATTGCATACAGTAGCAAAGAGGCACGATTGAAGCAGTTTTGCAGTTCTGGTTTAACAATATATCTCAAACTTCCAGGCATTTGAACAGAAACACTTTTTCAACCTTACAGCAACTTTTCAACTATTTTCTAATGTATTGTACGCTGTTGGAGATTTGCATTCATCTATGCTGTTGAACATAAGCAGAGTGCTGATAATTAAATGTTAATAATTATGCTAATTGATTATGTGCCATCAACTAGTTTTCAACTCCTAGCTATCATACAATAGATCATTTCTACAATGATCTGTCCATAATTTGATCCTTCAGGTCAACCAAAATGGAATTTGTCTAATAATTCTTTGTTAACACTAAGTACTTGTTAACTACTTATTTACATTTCCTCATTATTTGGGGACGACTATTTTGTTATCCCAAAGATGCTTTTTTCAGGAGGTAAGTGGACTTTGTTGTTTTTTCTTTGAAGATGTTTTGCTTCTCATCCAAAAAGCTTCTTCAGCTCTGACTGGATGGTAGGGAATGAAAAAAAAAGATAGTCCAGTTGCCTCTCAAAAAAAGCATCTTTGGGATAACTATGACCTGGATGACTGAGAATCTCCATAGACTATAGTTTGTTATTTCACATTTCAGAGTTATTTGGAGCTTTCTGATGTTTTCTTTGTATTGCTTATTTATCTAAACAGTATATTTCAGATTTCAGAGCATGCGTATTATTTATATATTCATTCACATAAGCAGAGATGTCATTATGAAATGCTGGACACAGGAAAGAGGGGGAGGGGAAAGACCAGCAATTGCACAATATTTTCACAGTATTTTACAGCACTTTACAAACCCCAGAGGGTGGCATTTTCCTGATTCTTGCAACCCAAATTGGCATTCATCAATTCACTAACCACGAATGCACTTTGGTTTCTAACACTTTGCTTTCTTTGGGGGTGGGGAGAATCATAACAGCTTCTGATGCATTTTCAAAAAGCTTACAAAACTAGATGTAGTCATGTGTTTAAAGCTGACCACAGATTATTAAAACGTAACAGATTATACAGATGATTGCAACACAACATTAGAACCTGTGGTATGTGAGAAAGATTGCTGGATTTGGATAGCAAGGCAATTTCTCCTCTCAGTCCCTAACTTTGCGCCTAGGCCAGGGGTAGGCAACCTTGGCTCTTTTATGACTCGTGGACTTCAACTCCCAGAATTCTTGAGCCAGCCAGGAGTTGAAGTCCACGAGTCATAAATGAGCCAAGATTGCCTACCCCTGGCCTAGGCCCTAGGCAAAAAATACAGGAAGCAGATTTAACAACAGAAACGCTAGTTATTGCCTGTTTTAATTTCAATTTCTTTTTCTATACGTAGAACGCAATGGGAAAAAACCAAGTACTAAAGTGTCATTTATGTTGTGGCTGCAGTACAAAACCTCCCATTCAACCACAATCCTGTTCATGTGGCCTTTGAGTCATTTCTACAGCTCACAAGAATAACTAGGAAAGAATCAAAGCTACAGTGCAGATAGGTCAGCCCTCCCAGATACAGCTGGTCCTCGGCTTACAACAGCTCATTTAGTGACCGTTTGAAGTTACAACAGCGCCCAAAAATATGACTTATGACCATTTTTACACTTGCGACCGTTGAAGCATCCCCCTGGTCACATAATCAAAATTCAGATGCTTGGCAACTGGCATGTATCTATGCTGATTGCAGTGTCCCGGGGTCATGTGATCACCTTTTGTGACCTTCTGGCAAGCAAAGTCAACGGGGAAGCCAGATTGACTGAACAACTTGTGTTACTAACTTGTCTGTGGGGATTCTCAGTCATCCAGGTCATAGTTGTCCCAAAGGTGCTTTTTCAAGAGGCAACTGGCCTTTCTTGTTTTTCTCTGAAGACGTTTCGCTTCACATCTAAGAAGCTTCTTCAGTCTGACTGAAGAAGCTGAAGAAGCTTTTTGGATGAGAAGCGAAACGTCTTCAAAGAAAAATAAGAAAATCCAGTTGCCTCTTGAAAAAGCACCTTTGGGTGTTGCTAACTTACAACTGCAGTGATTCACTTAACAGGCAAAAAAAAGGTTGTAAAACGGGGCAAAACTCGCTTAGCAGCTGTCTTGCTTAGGAACAGAAATTTTGGACTCAATTGTTGGTTGTAAATCGAGGGATGTCTGTAGACCAGGCAGGAAACAAAACTAGATGAACTAATTCTACTTTATTGTCAGGCTATATTAACAGAAACCTGCAAGTATGAAAAATATAATTTTCCCAACACACTTTAAACTGCTTGATCTGTTAGGGCAGGTCCCTAATAGTCTACTCTAAATCAAGGGTCCGCAACACCGGGGCTGCGGCCCACTTCCAGGCCGCAGCCCATTCAGAACTGGGCCATGTGAGCAGCAGACAAACGCACATGCGCAAAATTCCATTTATATAAGCAGTGGTTGCTTGCAGTGGTTGCTCGTTTGAGCGCACAGGCCTGCTACTCACACAGAACCATCCCATCTCCCTCCCTCATTGGGCCGCCAAGCCAGAAAGATTGGGGATCACTGTTCTAGACTACTCCGGGTTACACAAGACCTTGTTCTTGGTGCAGCCTCAGCGAATACTCTTCCAAGGTCTCTGCAGCCTCCGAAAAGCGTATAAAACCACATCCCATTCTCAGGTGATTTTAAGAAGCTCCAGGGGCCATTTGAGAGCATGGGTGTCTCTCACAACTTCCAGAGAGTCTGGAGGCCATGCAAGAATGAAAATCACACAAGAAAATCAGAAAGGAATGAGACGTGCTTTTGAGAATAGTTATTGTCAGGCGCTAATGAATGCTGGCGTGTCACCCAAAATATTGGGTGTCATCTTTGTCCCATATCATAGGTTCGCCACAGTTGCCATAATCCAATAAATTAACCTCAACATTGCAAGTGAAATACTGTGGCTCTTCAGGTTTTGCAGAACTATTCTAGCAGTTTGAACCAGCACTGCCAATAGCCAGAAACATTATGGGGCTGAGCATTTGCAAGGTGGAGGCAATAATAATAATAATAATAATAATAATAATAATAATAATAATAATAACCCCCAGTGAGGCACTACCTTGACGTGGTTGTGGGGCTTGTGTACTCTGAGGAAGATGAGAGCTATGCCAGAGGTTCAACCATACTGGACAGGTCTCATCAGAGGAGTCAGACAAAGAGTGTCTCTCCCATAAAAAATATGGTGAGACGTAAATTTCAGAATGCCATACCGGCTCGGACGTCGCCCGGGTTAACAAGGTCCGCACTAGATATTGGAGTTCCTGGATATCTGGTGAAAAATGGGTTACAGGACTCAGGACTGTTGGCTGAGCAACCAGGGCCAGCAGCTGCAGAACTACTGGAAGAAAAGGTGTTTACCCGTCGCAGATACACAGTGATGGAAAACA